GTGTGGTAAAACGCTGATGCAGCATGTCAACATCGCCAAAATATTGATCCTTCATGGACGCGGTCATGATGTCAATGTCGATGTCTGCATTGATGCGTGAGAACTCATCTACCATTACTACATGTTCATGTGCACGATGTAGGAGGTGGTCATCAATGTCTGAACAGCGACACGGAAAAGATATGTCAGGAGTCCACCTGCGTTGCCATGTGCGGTAGTTGTAGATCCTGTCCCCCAAGGTAGCACTGCGAGTTTCCACCACCCGGATCTTTGGAAGAAATAGGGAGGGAAACAAGTCACGATGCGAAGCAACCCAACGTTGTAACCATGTGCCAAGCTGAGCTTTCCAATTCCGTACATGTAGAGGTGGGAGAAGTAGTTGTGTCAAAGTGCTTGGTGATTGAAGTTGTCGTTTGTGCATTACCTGGGTGAGGAGCTTCTGTGCCTTAGAACGAAAAGGCTCGTTGACGAAGACGGAGAGTCGTAGGAAGTAGTAGAGCTGAGTAGGTGGAAAAGCCGCCGACAGTAAGTCTCGCATAGTCTGGAACGACGCACCTGTGTTGGATCCCAGCTGATAAAGAGTGGAGTAATGCGCTTGAATGTCATCCAACATTTCAGGTCGTAATTGCCGTTGAAGATCCGGATGTAGTCGTCGTCGGAAACGTGTAGCCCGAGTGAGGTGGGAGATGACAACGAATGACGCCGAAAGTCAACCAGATGCTCACGGAAGCCAATTTTTCGAAGAAGTCTATGTACCCAGGGAGCATTCAAATGCGGACGTAGCAAGTATTGCCACTTGCTTTCCTGGACCCAAACCGAGGAAATGGGAAGTTTGATCTCAACCGGAATGGCACAGAAAAGCCAGTAAGTGTTGGATCGCTTCCAGTAGTGAAGTGCAGGTTCGAAGAAGGCATGGCGTCCCCGAAGTAGTTGTAGAAATTTGCGACTGCGTGAGTGTTCTCGTCGAAGAACATCCTGATCAGTTGCTCCAACGTAGTATGGACTGTGCCATGGAGAAAGTCTGATGTAGACGCATGGTTGTTGATGGTGACCTGGATCTTGAATGAAGTCATAGAGGTCCGGGAAACGTGTCCGTAGTGAGCGAAGGTGTCTTGTGTCCGCAAAAGTGGAATGCATGATTTCACACAACAGAGACGTCTTGTAGAAGTGAAGAACCTCGAAAAACGGCGGGACATACCCATAATCTTGAGAAATGAGACGCTGCAAGAAACTGATCAATAAATAGGCAGTGCACCGGCACCTGTGAAGTTCATACCTGTTGGCCACAGTGTGATAAGACTGCGACATGGAGTGAATCGGGATCTGAAGTGCGATCCGAACCACAACTAGTACTTCCAGAATAAGGCCCAGCCAAGGTAGCCGCTCAACTGACTCATATTCATCCATTGGTATCGACGGTGGTGGAAGTCCAGGAAAGCAGTATTGCCAGCACGTAGAGAACATTGTCAACGAGTGCAGAAAGGTATCTAAGGGATGCCATTGTGCAACATCATCATAGATTCCACAGCGGCGAAGCTCAGCCAACATGGTGAACATGCAACCAATGAAATCTACAATGTGGCGGCAACAGGAATGCAAGCGGCAATTAACACCAAGCAATTCACAACGCAAGCAAAGACAAGCACATCATCAAACAAGTGCAGAGCAAGAAGAGGACGGACAAGTTTTGAACCATTCATCAATCATGACACAGCTGCCACTCCGGGCTCATAAGTGAACGAAGGTAACTGCTCACCCTGTGAGTAAGCGGTCAGTCACGATGAGGTGACACAACGCCTTGTCAGTGAGCTTGGTGAGGTAGCCAGGCTCCAGTCCCCACAGAGCCGCCATCGCCCCAAACGTAGGTGCGTCTCCTTTTGGGATGCGTTGACGCGCCTGAAAGAGCTGGGTCGACATGGATTCCAAGGACTTGTTGCCGTTGAGACGGGATGGGTGATTGGCCCGCTTGATCAATGACGCCAAAGTAGTGGTAGTGGGCGATTGCTTGAGATACAAGCGTGGTTGATCACTAGTCCATGTGTAGTACTTGATGACGTCTGCAGGCGTGCTGTGCATGGTGAGCAATTGTGACGCCGCCGGCTTGGAAGGCGGTGAAGAAAGTCCGTGCAGAGACTGGATGATTCGGGGTTGCACTGCGCCATCAAATGACTTGCCATCAAGGGCTGCTGCACTGACCGTAGGTAGGGAGCTGGTCGGTGACGAAGATTGTGTGTGATTGGTCGGTGGTGGTGTGACCAACTCTGCATCATCCTTCTGGGTTGGCACCGTAGGGGAAGTCGAAGCGCGTAGCGATACCGAATACTGAGCCTGGAGCAACTCATGAGCTCGATTTAGATCATTGAACTTCTTGACCATGTCTTCCGTTTGGGTAGAGGGCGTGAGAGTCGCGTGTTGCTGCTGAAGGAACTGAAGCACCAAGTTGGCCAAATGGTCATGAACCTTGATACGCTGGTTGAAGTCGTCAAGGTTGAGCCCCAGTGAGCTGGCAAGGTCCTTCTCTAAGGTGAGCAGGTTGATCGACTGTGATCGTCGTAGTAGTTTGGAACAGGTACTCCAAAGTAGGGCCTCGGTGCAAGTGCGAAAGCCTTCCCACGTCACGAATCTGCCGTGAGCAAATGGTCGGAGCAGCCAGTTGGTGATGCCCCCGTGAATGACCTGAACCAGGCGAACGTCACGAATGTCCATGCCGGACATGTCACGTAGGTTGTTGTGCGGGGTGTTGGCGACCGTCATGGGCAGGCTGAAGTTGTAGAGCTGGTTGATGTCTAGTAAGCCATGCTTTCTGAGGTCGAACTGGCAGGGCTGCAGGGTATCCAGGCGATGGTGTAGCTTGAGAAGGAGTGACCGGTGGTGGCATCACGGGCGTGATGAACTTCGCTGGCGTGGGCTCTGGAGGAACCGGTATCATGTAGTTGACCGGTGAATGATGGAACTGCTGCGTGGGGTTTGGAATCGATTGATAATTGCCTGGCATCACCGGAAAATTGTTGCTGGAGTTGTAGCCTGAATTGTGTTGCCAGGATACCAGGTTGTTCCAATCCATGCCCTCCGAGACCTGATTGTCATTGTGTTCGCGTCGGCGTGCTTTGCGAGCTTGAGGGGAAGGACTCCGATCCCGTCTGCGCCGTGTTCTGGATCTGTCACGATCATCCCATCGAGACATGATGGCACAACAAACTCAAAACTGCGACACCTCAATCTTGAGAGAATCAAATCCGACAAGATGCAAGTCAACGCAAGTTCAAGCCAAGCACAGATCAACATGCGGTCATGCAGCCACCAGCAGCGATTGTGAGACTTAGCTATGATCTGACGGCTGTCTTCCCTTTAGTGAAACCTCGTTCCTGGTTAAATCAGAAATTCCGCTGTTCTATGATAAGCACGTTGAGGTCAAATTTTCCGACAGAGTCGGCCCGGGGTCACACAATGGGTACACCCGAGGATTCCCCACGAATGGGGTGTACACACTTAAACTTCAGATGGAGGGTGCTAATCTTTCGAGTACAACTGATGAGTCTCGAGTACAACTGATGAGGCTCGAGTACAACTGACAAGTCTCAAGTCGGATAAGGTTCGGCTGGCAGGTCACTTGGCTTCACTCTAGTGTCGAAAACGTTACAAGGTTCAACATGAAGCACACACAGCGGCAAAAGAAGCGGCCAACTGGACTTTCATCAACATCACTTCACAAAAGCAGGTACACACGGGTGATCAATCCGTGCATCCAGCATCAAGCATAGCTTCGTTGGCCAGCGTTTGCTTGATGGCTGCTGGCCCCCTGCTACTAATTGTGGTGACAGGGTATTCTGCCACTCCGCACACACACACACACAAACAATCAAGCAAGGAAACAGGCTAGCGAGCAAGCAAGACAACACACTGCTGATCCAATAAAACAAATGAACAATGATCCTACAAATTACAAGGACTCACACATTGAAAATCAGGAATAAACATCAAGGGCCTTCAGTTTGTTCTAGAGTCAACTTCCATCCTTGTTTTCAGATAACCACCCAGAAACCATGACAACACGACGGGCGTGTGACAAGAACGATGTTGAAGAGAAGGGGGAATCAACACCTGGAATTGTCGGAAACATCCAATGGAGCAAATCCCGGGCAACATATGCGAAAGACCCGCAATGCACATGGGGAAAAACAAACACTTGCCCGCAAGGAAACCGCCCGTTGCTCGCGGGACGCACTCACACAATAGTTGACCAATGCAAGCAGATCCGGGGGAGTGGCATGGATGCTTCCTGCAGATTCAATCAAGTCAAAAAGGGGCACCGTTTTCTGGGAAAAACAACAGGCATATAGTTCATTTGTCTATGCATGCGCCCTCGCACAAACATGGATTAGCGCAGGCCCCCATGCTGCGAGGAACAACATCTAAAATGTCTCTGCACACTTCCACTCCTAGTGGGAGCGCAATTTGCTTGATGCAACTAGATAGGGAGGCGGGGGTGAAGCATGATGGATGCCTTCAGCAAGTATTTGAACGACCGCGCTCTGGCTTCTCCTTGAAGGGGGTTTGACCAGTGTCTGCCATTGGGGAAGCGCAGCCTTTTACGGAATTCCCCTTGCCCCCAAAACATTTGAAACAAGGTCAACTTTCTGGCCTGCCATCACCGCTGTGCGAATTCTGAGATAAATACATGTACATACCCAAATATTTCGTAGGTCACGTAGGCACAACAGGCCATGTTTAAACCAAACAGAGGCATTGCATCCAGAAGTCCAATATGATATCTTCATTTGCTGCAGGCAGGTGATAACATGCCATGTCCAAGTTTCAGACAGAAACGGCGGACCTAATAGATTCGTGGCTTGTTCAAGAATATTAGGAAGCAACAACTCGCATCCCTGCTTTCTGACCACCCTATAAAGAACACAAGATAAAACTAAGCTCGGAAACAGGTTTGGGGTTGGGAGAACAGGGTCCCCAACAACTTGCCTGCATTAAGCTGAGCAAGTTGCATGCCAAGCCTGAGGGCGAAGTGGAAATAGGTCCATACCTCGTCTGCGTTTGGGATGAAGCAACATGGCTTCCCTTTCATGGAAAGCCAAAAAAAAACGCCCATTTCTTGTCGAGCGGACGGCAAGTTCCTACAGTTTTGTGTAGTTGTTCAAAGAAGCTGGTCGCCATGCGGCTCCCGGATGGCTCTCAGGGACCAAACAAGGGAGCCAAGTGTCCAGAAAGCCCACGGATACCAAGGCCAAAGCCCCAGTGCAGTGATCCATTCCAAAACCAATCACGACATCGCGTGTTAACAGCAAGGGTCCAAAGGGACCGGGGTAGAAAGAGCTATGGTTGCTTTGAGCTTCTTCTTGCTGTTCTTTTCGAGAACGATGGCAAAGGCCGGTGGACTCAGGCTTGGACAATCTGTATGTAGGGAGTTCTAACCAGCAACTGTTGGGCGCATTCCAATCAAGGAGGATAACTTCTGTTTGCGCAGAAAGTTTGACCAGGAAGCTTCAACATGAAGGAAACACTGGAATTCACCCTGTGATCGACGCATGCCGTAAGCGCCACAGTCGCACACAGTAACTTCTTAGTTGATATTTGGACGGCAACAGAAGCAAACCAACCATTCTAAGGTCCCCTATTTTTTTAACGTTCCACAAAGTTCCCATGGACCCCTTCCGCGTGAATCGGCGTCACGTGACTTTCTGCGCACCCTGCACATTCTCGGCAGTTCTGACGGAAGGAACGCAGTCTACCATTTACGGTTTCACTCCTTTCTGTGCGCCGAAGGGTTGAGGGTCCGAGCTCCGGGCAACACATGCAACTCCGAAAGCAATTAGCCAACCTCCATGGTGGCAGGAGAGCGGGATACGACCTGGCGAGCTGCTGATCGCTTGAAGAAAGGACTCAACGGGAGCAATATGCGAGGCTCTTCCCACAAAATCGTTGGCTCTGGCTTGAGCAAAACCCGGTTTAATGTAAGATGGTTCCACTGCCCCCCATCCACAGGGGAAAAGGGGGAAACCCTTCATATTGATATCCATGTGGGTCCCGGTAGCTTCGGTTGGCGGTAGTGGAAACCATCTGTTGGGGTGGGTTTTCTGTTGGTGTTGCTTTAAGACTTTAAGACTCATCTCCGTCGCTTCTTCACGCTTCTCAGCTCTTTCTGCGGCTGCAAATCAAGATTGTTTCCCAACATTGGGACCAATCAAGCCAGCACGGCAACAACGGAAAGTGGCAACATACACTTGAATTTTTCATGGGATCGTCATCAATCGTCTTGGTACAGAAAGAGACTGAACAAAGTGGCACAAGGTAATGCACATGCACACAAGGCCGCGCCCAAATCAAAAAACAAACAAACAAAATAACATCACATCCTAACCAATGCATGCAAAGAAATCCAAACCGACACAAATGGCACACAACAAGTCAGCAGGCATGTTGCATGTGCTTTTGCACAAAAAATCGAAACAGAAACGTATGCGAAAATGAACACAAGAGGCACAACACAACAATAAACAACACAACATGCAGTTTGCAAAACGTTTTGCATGCGTAGTGCTTGCCAAAAATGCGGCAAAATGCGTGCAATATACATGCAAAAATGCAAGCAACCATACGAACGCATTTTGCGTGCCTTGTGCGTGCACGAAGTATGCCCGAAAATGTAAAATAACCAATGCATGCAAAACAACATACCAGCAAAATGCACGCAAACATAAGAGCGCATTCCGAATGCCTTGTCATGCGCAAACACAATCAACAACCCCGAGCAGTTCGAATCACTACAGGCATGCATACAAATAAACAAAACAACGGACGGATGAATTGGTATTTGCAGCGAATGAAAGAAAAACAACTCAAAAACTGTAGATGGGTTGAGTGGTCGTGTGTGGTCGTGATGCACATGTACGTGCAGTGGTCTCGTGTGAGGGAGGATGCCCAACAATCCGCAACCGCATGCAACATGAACATACATGTAACATTCACCAAAAAAGGCAACGTGTCCTAAGCAATGCATGCAAACAAATCCAAACAGAACTGCATGCCAAAATGAACACAACAGGCACAGAACAACACAGCACGCAGTTTGCATGCGGCTTGCATGCGTAGAGTAGTGTTTGCCCTGCGGGAAACATGCAATATACATGCAACATGCAAGCAAGTACATGCATAAATATGTCCAAACTGCACAACCAATGCATGCAACATACTCATGCATACAGTATCCCAGAAAGAAAGGCAACAGGTCCTAGCCAATGCATGCCAAACAAACAAAGCTGATAGTGCCAAATGCACACAAAAGCCAGAGAACAATGCAGCACGCGCGTCGCTTGCCTTTTGCGTGCGTATGCAAAATGCATGCAATATGCGTGGGAGCGCGCCGCAAGGGTTTTATCTCCAATGCATAGAATGCGCAAATAGTGACAAATGAAAGGCCCTTTGGCGAAAATGGCGGAATAAGATTGTGTGGGGTTCAATAACTGTCAAAGCAAACACAAAAACAGACACACATTTCTTGTGAACACCCACATCGAATTCCTGTATCATATTCAGGACAAGCTTGGCTTAGCCTTGTGTGCCGTAGGCTTCAAAGTTAGATTCACTTGAGCGTAGTTGCTTTTGTTGCGCGATTGGATTGTTCTTCGTTTGGCAACTGGAAAAGTATGTTCGGAATGCAATGCATGTTGAAATGCCAATCCGCACCCTTGAGTGGAAAGCAAAAGAGACACCGCGTCTTTCTAAAAATGTTGCGTCTTTTCCATGATGCCTACGGAAAACGGATTGTTTTTATTCTCCGGTCGGGCATATGGTGATGCCGTTTTCGGGTGTGTCGAAGTTGGATTTCGCGCTAGCTTGAGGAGGCGTATTTAACACTTGTAGTATCGCCGCTTCTTCTCCTGGTAGCTGCTGGCCGAAGCGGCTCCAGAATCGTCTACCCAGGATTGCTGATCTTGGTACTTCCACCGTAGTAGTCGTTGACCTTGTTGCAGTGCTTCTTCTGATCCCATTGGTGCCACCTGTTCTTCTTGATGTGATAGTCCTTTGTCTTCTGAATGCTTGTCTGCTTAGCTTCGTTACAGGTGTGTATACCATCAGCGGCTGGTGCGAATCAAAGTCGCAAGTTGCATCCGTGATCATCTCATTCGTGAGGTGCTTGAACCTCTCCACTCAGGATGCGCAGGCTGTCGACCTCGAATTTGGTCTGGTCTTCCGCACGCATCGCGTTGTGCTCTCGCTGTCAAAATTTTTGTTGGTCGTCGATCTTTCCCCAGCCGAATACGAAGGTGTGCATACATTCGGGAAAGGTCCGATCATAGTCTGATCTTGTCTTGATGCATTTAGGGTGATGGATTGCGTAGTGCCCGGTGTATCCATTGTCTGCAGTCGAGGCGATCAGTGAGTGCGTCACTTGATTGCATGGTAAAGAAGTCTATTTTCTGGGCGACACACCTGCTGGTACTGGCTGTAGCTGTTCACGGGATTGTTTCCGTCAAGATCGCATCGCGCTGGAACTCTGTGACCAGTGGCAGGATAGATGTGGAATCGTCGCAAACGGAAGACCTGCTCAAGTCACATAAGTCGCATCATAGTCTTGCCTGGGAAAACGCTTGGCTTTGGCAATGTCACCTGGGAGTCATGACATGGATGGTGATGATTTCCTGGTTCTTCCCGTATGCCTTGATGGATGTGCGTGGTGGCAGCATCTGTTGATGGTTTTCCCGGCGGTACTCCTTCATGAACGTGTACTTCGCAGTGGAGGCCAATCAATCTGGTGTCGGAAGTTTGTATTCAGGATCGTCCTCGTCACCGGTTGTGCCGAAATAGAATCTGAACACTCTCAATGTTGTTCTCCAGCCCTTGGATCTGTCGGAAATGTATCCTGCCAGGAGTTCTACTCTGGCGTCCACAAACAACACAGGCGATGGGTCGCGCTGTCCATGTCTTCAGAACAATGCCCTTGTGTCCGTTGTGAATGAACAAATGAGTTCCTCCGTCTTGTCGGTATCCTCGAATAATGCATCTGCTTCGTTGATACACAGGATGTGTGCACTGTGCAGAGTAGCTCCTTGTTCAGAGGTCGATCACAGAGTTTCGGATTCATGGTCAGGGGTCCACACTGTGAGCAGGTTGAGCATTGTAAATGACGATCGTGATGGTCGAGGATCTTGATTAGCCTGATCAGATATCCGGACCCTGGCACTCCTCGATGGAGGGATGATCGCTAGTCTCCTGACAATAGAATTCCTCCTTCATCATAGTTGACGGATGGATCAACATGCGCCCAGGAATCAATCTCGCACGCGCTAAGATCTGAGCGCAAGCATTTTGGATTCCTCTTGTACGTCTCCATTAGTTCGAGGAAGCTCTTCTTGGTGTCTTGGAATTCCCTCTTTGCATCTCGCTCACTCATCTCTCCGTAGAGAGTGACTCCTTTGAATTTGGCGATGAAGTCTTGGATGTTACGCTCATCATGGAAGTCCAGCGAATCTTGGTTTTGACAGACTTGTCTTGATTGGATGCAATGGATTCGTTTCCATTATCAGAGTTCTCCATCGAGCTATGATTGGTGGTGACTGACAAATTTTGTGCAGAAACTGTATCGGATTGGATCACCTTCTCATTCGTTCTCATGCTGCTGAAATGCATCATGGTCGCATGTTCTGTGCTGGATTCGCTCCAATTTCCTACCGGCATCGGTAGGCTCTGAATGTTCAGGAACCTGCTGCCTGGTAGGATGCTCCTCCGGTTTCTCTGCAATGGCTGCAAATGTAGTATCGTGTCCGCCTTCTCCTTTGCAACTTTTACAGGATGGATCACCTTTGTTTCCATCAAAAGAGTACTGGAGTTTTGCTTTTTCTTCTTTCTGTTCTTGCCTGTGCCTGGTCGTAGGGATCACTGTTTCTGTTGGTCATATTGGCCTTCCCGCCTCTTGATTTTCCTTTGCTTTTTCTTCTTCCAATCCCAAATTCCGCCCAAACACTTTTCTTGCAATAAACGCATCACTCTCATCGAGAACCCAGAGTGTCTGTTCATCTTCCGTTGCCATGAATCCTTACCTTCAAATCCTTCTTCATCCTCAACTCAAAGGCTTCTTCTCCTTCGTATTCCTGTTGGTCTAGGATGTTGCTGCGGTTGCCTCCTGGAGATCGGGTGGATGGATCTTGGATAGATGTTCTGGTCGTGGTGAGAATGTCTTCAGCATCTCGTACGAGTACTTCTCCAGTGAGATGTTCCTCAAAGACTTTGCGCTGATCAGTCTTTCTCTGCTGATGTGACACTTCACTCTGGATGAGAAAGAACTTTTCAATGAGGTTGTCATTGAGTGGGAATGCGCCCCTGTGTCTTGCCTGCGTGCCGTTTATGTACTGTCTCAGTACTTCTGGATTGTCTGCGGCAAGTAGATCTGAAGGCGGTACGCTGGCACCGCCAGCTAGCTGACGCTGGATAATTCTTCCTTGGTTTGCATCTTGAACTGGTGCAAGAAACTCTGATGACTGTGCCGTGTAAACAGGCATCAGGTCATTCCAGGATGCCTTTCAATCTTGGATGTGAATATGAGGAACTCCGAGTTCTGCCGTCGATGTTTGAAGACGATGAAGAGCCTGTACAGACACACGTTGGTCGCTCTTTTCTTTTCAGGAAGTCCTTCGGCGGGATCTTGAAGCAATTCGTTGTCAAGGACTTGCTTGTACATGTACACATCTCCCATAAGTCTGCTCCTGAGGAGAGGTCCTGTCTTGGATGCTTCAATCGTGAATATCGTCCAATTATCCGTAAGTTCTTTACCTGGGCCAGCTGACTTTTCCGTCGTGCGATGGCGGCTGTTTGGCGGTCATGGATAAATTGAGGGTCTCTTCAGTTCCCATTGCATGACATCTTAATTTGGATCTGCTGAAAAGCTGCTCCGCTACCACAGTTGAGTGCCAAGCCGGGGGCACTTGATCCCTAAGAACGTGTCCACTATCAGTGCTTGTGTGTCCCTGGATCTCTTTCAGGAGGATCCCATTGATATACGCCTGATAGATGTATTGACCAATGGATTTCTCTGGCACAAGATATGTAAATATTGCAGGCCCAAGAGCGCGCCGCAAGGGTTTTTATCTCCAATGCACAGAATGCATTAATGGCAGAGTAAGATTGTGTGGGGTTCAATGCCTTTCAAGACAAACACCCCCCCTGGAGTTTCAAGCACAACTCCAGCGACAAAGTCACTTTCCGTCAACATGGTCGCTTTTTGGGGTTCTGTGAGCTAACGTGTCAAAAGGCCGCAGAGATTCATCTCTCGCAAACATGCCTGGACGTCTAGACAAGAAGCTAATCAGCATCAACACCCAGCTGATGCCATGGAGAAAAAAGTCCAAGTAGCTTGGGCTGTCCTGGAAGGCTGGGTGCGCCCAGTCCAGCGGAAGCTCGAAAATTCAGATGGGGCTGAAAGGGAAACCAAGAGGAAACCTACCTGCTTGACCCTTGAAACACCCCAAACTCCTCTCCCAAGACATCAACCCGGAGCCGAGATGAACCGTTGGAGCTAAACATCTCCTCTGCCCACGGGTTCTCCACCGTCCAGTACAGCACCTCGCACGCTGGCCCATTGGAGCCGATTGTCATGGGACATCCAGGCAGTTGGGATGTGAGCCCTTTCAATACTTCCACACTGGCGCAGGATGTGTTTTTTGGGACTCAACCCCTGGTTTTTTTCACTACCCGCTGAATCTTATTCGGAACCGCGACGCCTTCCCATGCTGTCCAGGCACGCGCGGCTTGTTTAGCAGTTTAGCACACACACATGACTACTCAAAGCTCGCTTGACCTTACTTCGAGGCCCGCGCCATCACCAAGAATGAGAATGGCTGCCTCAGGCAACTCGGGAGAACTATGCAAAACATCGCAACACGTAAGACACGTCATGTCCGGTCTGTGGTGCAATTGAGTTTAGAGACAGGGGCCAGAGATTGGGAGGAAACAATGAGATTTGTCGGTTGAATCCAAACAAAATTGCCTTTGCCAAGCACTCAACGTTGTCAAGGAGCTCCCATTTTGAGACAGTCAATCTTCTTCCCATGACTTCCGATGTGGCTCCTTCTCTTTTCGTCTTAATGTGTTCCCAACGTCGTCCCAACTCAAAATGCTGCACCCTATGTTTAGGCCTCGGGGAAAAGCGGGGTCCAAAGTAGATACTGGCGAGCCTGCGTCATTCTTTGGGGAAGCCCTTGGGTAAAGCCTGAATGCATAAGCCCGTATAGCCCGCATATCAACCCACGAATGAAAAAAAGTGTATCCCTAATTGACATGGGCTCCTCTTTGCAAGGCCCTGGCGCAAAACACATCTTGAACCTCTCTAGTTTCGTGGGGCTCCCCAATTTGAGACTCTTGGATCAACCTTGGCTTGTGCTTTGCCAGCCTTCACACCAAGGCCAAATCATTGCCGTTGAAACAATGAACAGCCCCAAAAAGGAACCTGTATCACGGATGCTATTCACCAAACCTTTCGTCGAACTTTCTGCTTGCCCCCAGACATGAGTTCACCATATTGAAGCCCCCAAAGATCGATTGAGGACCCTTTGGTGGCATCATTGACATGGGAATTCATGCCCACGAGCCTTTTGCTTTTGAGGGTGTTGGCTTTCAACGGTCGACAACAACTGCAAGACAGTTTCCTCCAGGGAGCCGCTTTCAGGTTGCAGGTGGTGTTCATAGGTGTCCTTTTAAGGCAAATAGATGGGCTTCCCTGGTAGATGATTAAACCACCAACCAAAAAAACACCTATGGGGCTATAGCCGAGTGACGCGATGGTCGAGATGGCCAATGCTGCTGCCACCACCTGGGGTAGAGACCGCTCCTGGCAGATGGTTTGCTAGGTCCAGTAGAGAGGTTAGAACAAGTTGGTGCCGTTTCTTTTTCTGTAGTCTATTGTTGTAGGGGATTCCTCCCCCAAAAAAGGGCGAAAGGGCGAAAGGGCGTGAGCCGAAACGCTCATTTTCTTGACTGGGGGGGTTGGGGTGGGGGGTGGGGTGGGGTGGTAGCGTTCACAAGAAGTGCTTCGTGCATTCCCCATTGGCACGGCGGTGGGGTGGGGTGGTAGACAAGAAGTGCTTCGTGCATTCCCCATTGGCACGGCCGCGCACAGCTCACGGGGTGGGGTGGGGGGTGGGGTTTTGTGGTAGCGTTCACAAGAAGTGCTTCGCGTGTTCCCCACTGGCGCGGCCGCACACAGCTGACGGGGTGGGGTGGGGGGGGGTGCGGGGGTGGGGTGGGGTGGGGTTTCTTCGTTCCTTTCAGCTGTGCAGTTTGTTGGGGGCAATCATTTCAATGCTTCAGACTCAAGGCTGTCAGTTATCTTTCTGGGATCTTCTGCATGGACTTGAGACGTTGTGCATGACTTTCTGGGATCTTGACATTTGCACACATGCCGCAGATGGCGGGCTCCTCCCAAGAAACGCAGTGCCTAGCTCTTGTGCTCCTCTTGCGACTGGCATGCGTAAGCTTGCCGCCACTCCTAGCATGCTGGCAGCGAGAACCTGTGGAAACCGTGGATGCTCTGCATGAGCTTTTCAGTGCTTCTGCTCGAAATGATGCTGTCTCATCCATGGTGCCAAGTCGTGGCGGCAAGTCGTGGCGGCAGGCTGCTGTGGCCGCTGGCTTGCAGTATGCCAGTGTGAACCACAGCTTGCTGGAGTTCTGCCGCGCGGTGCCTCTGCCTGCGAAACCTGATGAATATGTGACTGCGGGGACGCAATGTATCGACCGCAGCTGGCAGGACATAAAAAAGCATATTCCTTCTGAGATAGCGGCGAAAGACCCTAAGAGTAAGCTCATCAATGGACTTGGATCTACTCTTGGCAGTGGCGACGAAACTGTGGAGGGGACTTATGGGCTGCAATGCCAGCCTTGTTTCACAGCTGAGGACATCACTGATGGAGGAATCGTGAAAACAAGCTGTTTTTGTTCGACTGTTAGAGAAACAGTTCTTTCGGCTTGTTCTGGCCCATCAACCCAGGAAGCGAGTACTGGTAAACATTAAATGTCTGGACCTTTTCTGGCCAATCCTGTGGGAAGTGAGATCTGTCTTACCCCAGGCCTGCGGGGAATCCGGAGCCCAGCAGCGGCTCGGTTGGTCGTTGGTTGCCCCGAGGCTCCGATCGGCGTTGGCTTTTGGAAGACCCGACCCTCGAATCATTCGACACGGGAATCGGTGTTTGGGGTTCTCAAAACCTGGCCGTTTGAGGGCCCCCTGCAAACATCGAATTGGAGCCTCTGGGTGGGGCGATTCTTGGAATCGATGGCCCGAAAGAAAGCTCCCAGACTTTAAATGACTTTAACTTTTTGGTTGACATCAAGGGAAGTTTCCGTGAAGCCCCCAACAAGTCAAACTTTTTGCAGGGGGGCCGTTGCAACCAAGTTGGGGGTGCTGTTTCCCCAGACTCAGCTCCCCTCTTCGTGACCTAGTTTATGTGCGCGGTCACAAAGTGTTCGGGTCGAAATAGATGCTCCTTTCCAACCACGCAACAAAAGGACGCACTCAAAAACACGCATCCTAAACGTCTTGGTGGCAACTGAGAAAGTTGACCGAACTTAATGTGAGTGCATCTCATCAAGGGGCGTCCAAAAAAAAGGCGTTTCTTTGTGGTTTCCCTTTCATCCTCAAGAAAGGACTGAGCCTCTGTCGCCGCGACCAAAGGAAGCTCATTTCGAACATGTCCCAAAGACGATGTTGAAAGCACCGAATAACTTTTGGCCAATGAGTTCCTGGCGAAAGCAGATGGCGCACTTCCCTTGTGGATAGCTAAAGAGAACGACTGACCCAAAACGGGCGGCGGGGATGTGCCGTCTTTCTCCCAACTGGGCCAGAACAAATTGACCACCCGAACCGGGCATGATGTCCCTTCAAAGACCCAGGCTCTGGCACGTTCACTGAACCCCTTTCGCAGGGGACTTTGTTTTGGGTTGCCAAGAGACAAGAGAATTGACAAGGAAACCCAGGCCTCGCCTGCATTCCAAACATTTTCTGCGGTACCGCAGGGTCAAGCGGAGTCGGTGTGGGGAAGGCTTTGAAGGGAAGCCAAAAGGGCAGCGATGTGCCGACCCCAATTCGAGCCATTCAACTTGCTGGTTCGATGGGCACTAGGTCCTCCAGTAGAGAGGTTAGAATAAGTTGGTACCGTTTTTTTTTGGGGCTCTTTCTTTTTTCCTATTTCTTTTTTTCCTGTAGTCTACTTTAGTGGGGAACCCTCCCCCAAAAAAGGGGAGAGAAGGGCACTACTGGGACCTAGCATGGAAACCTGGGAGGGTTTTGGGGTTGAACCGGCCGAAAATCCCTCGTTCCCAAGCAAGCGTCCTCCTCCCTCACCGGCAAGGCAGCCATTCCCACTGCCTCAGGGGCGTATCCGGCAATCTGGCAAGGCGTTCTTGTAGTCTATCCGGCAAGCTTATTCCTCCATTTGCTTAAGTCCCCTCGAAAAAATAATCATATTTCCAGCAGTGATAGATGTCCTTTAAAACCAACAGGGGAAAATAAAAAATGTTCTTAAGCAAATGGAAGTATTATGTCTGGCTAAGCAACTCATCCTTTCCCCTAAGCAACTGGGCAGCAGCACGAAACCTCGAGAGGACCGCGCCGTTTTCAGGTTAGCAACATGGCCGAGGTCAACTTCCACTCGGCAAGCGAGACTATTCAGTCTGAAGACAGACTGGTCGCCTTTCACTCAGGAGTATTCCTCCAGGCGGTCAGTTCCGAATAATGGTCCAACTGCAGGCTGTTGGGTCGGCTCTATAAATTCATTCCGCTTCTCCCCCACCCTTGCACGCATGTGCGATGGCGACTTCTGTCGAATTGGCGGTCTCTCCAATCCAACCTCTACCGACTCACTGTAAAGCACTGCAAAGCTCGGAGAAAGCTGTGCTTCTGAGCTAAACATCTGGGCAAAAAAGGGATCACTCCTAGGACAGCGGCTACCACAAGATCATGGGCGAGTGATTTCGTCGCAAATCATTACCTGTGTGACTTTGCAAGTAAGGAACCCTAGCGAACAAAAGGCCCAATTGGGGTTTCCGTCGAATAGTGCCACACATCACTTTTCTGTTGCCCAAATTGGAGCGCGGGAGTCAGGGGTGAGACTTCTGATGCCAATTGGGCTTCAAGCACCCAAATTTTTACGCGCGAGGGCGCTGCAAAACCTGTGCTCGATGGCCGCTTGCGCGTGTAGAAAAAGGCCAAGGGCGGTTTCGAGCAACTTCTGATGAGACGACACTCGGATCTGTCCTCTTGTGATACAGTTGCCCTGGCGGGAATAACATGAAAGCAAAGACTTCTAGGGGCCCTGCTGGACGCTGCGGGCTTTTGTTTGATTGCCCGGTGGACAAACATCTCCAGTTCACCTGGCAATCAAAGTGGGGGGATGACTCCCCCGCGTCGGGTTGCCCTGGTGAGATCCATGGATCCATCCCCGGGTATTGGAAGAACACCAAAACATCTGATTCAGAGCCACAAGTTCAGCCATTGCAGCCGTCAACTTGCCAGTGTGCTCTGATTCAGCGGATTATAGAGTGCAACCAGCTAAACTTCAAAAGGGCAGCGATCAGCTGTGCCTCCCTCGTCTCATCTTGAAAGAGAATCACTCGTGTCAAAGCCAAAAGATACCGCGCTCATCTGGCTCCTGTCAGACTGCGTGCAACGACTCGGGTTGTCCTGCCTGGCTTCTCGTGCTTGCAAACAAGCCCCAGGTCTCCTTTCACACAAACACGAGGGGTCCTTTTCGGACGAGTTGATTTGTTGCTTTGCCATTCCAAAGGTCCCCAAAGACACGGGGTCGCCAGGCTGGTTCTCAGGGAATGAGGAAATAACCTCCAACTGGGCCCCTCCCCAAAAGCCCCAAAAAGCGGTCCCTTTGGCTTTCCTTTCAACCAACCCCACAAAAGGGAGCCCCGAAAAAGCCAAAAAGACATGTCCATCGCCTGACTCACGGAATGCCTAGACCTTCCACTGCCGGCTCCTTATACGTGGTGCGTGCCTTCAGCTCGGGGAGCTTGTTGTGCGCCGCCTCAAGCCCGAAAGGCGACCAAGATGTTCGAACTCTTCGGTGCGCCGTTTTTCGCGACTTATTTTTTGGGGACTCGATTCTTGAGAAAAGAAAAATGCCATTGGACCCGAAAGAGAAGTGCAGTCCTTGTAGGTACACAAGTGGCAGTGGTTGCAGCTGTCACCCTTCCAGCACCCGTCCGCCTTCCGCGTGTGAAAAATGCAGGGACAGCAACATCCGTGCTTATGCAGCTCTGCTTTGGCGATCCTTGACAAGGGCACGTCTTGCGCATCTGGCACTTGGGCGCAAGGCATCGCCGCGGAAATAATCTTGTTACTCATAGTGGTATTGAGCCTAAATGCTATCGGAAAATCAGATCGCAAACTGCCATGCCGACACATCCGACACATGGCCATGGGTCAAAAACCCGTAATTTCAGTGAACATCCCAATCCCAACTGAAATAGGTTCTAAAATGGGTGGTGAATTCTGACCCCAAAAGTGGGATCTCGTTTGACGGTTTTGACAACCACAGCCACATCTGCGCGGACAACTTTGTTTTGCCAAACCTCGAGGCTCTCGTCGCGCCACGTGGCCCAAAGCTCAGATCAAACCCATGGCCCCTCCAAAAGCTTCCAAGGCTCCCGGTGCGAAAAGCTTTCGGGGCCCGGGGGCCCGGACCTGAACATATCGCCACGGTTTTGTGGCGTCACTTGCGATATATTTAGGTCCATCGGAAAAAAGAAAACAAACAAAAACTGAGGGACCGTGTCTCAGGTCGCCCATTCCCAGCGCCCCATGGAACAGGATGGTCAACGGACTGGCCGGGTAGGTCCTGATGTGGCGATCGGCTCTGCGCAAAAAGTGCATGGCTTGCCGAGTGGTCCAGTTGTTTCTTTAGGCAACATATGCTAGGTTGAAACGACAGGCGACGGCCATGCCCTCAAAAGGCTCCACCATCAAAAGGATAGTTAGTTTTGTTCCCGGCAAGCAATAGTTGAACGGTTAATGAACGACGGGTAAGTGCTGCTTCCAAGCTCCAAGCAAAGAGAAGGTTGAGCAGGTCAGCAGTCAGCATCTTCATGTCTTCTCACGAAAACTCAAATTACGAAAATTGAAGATTGAGGGACTAACGATTCGAAGCTTCATGTTGTCGCCATCTCCCATGCAAGTTTAAGGTAGGCTTCGCCGTCAAAAGCTCCGCGGTGTTGCTGTTGGTGGTTTGACAGCAAGCGAACGATTGAAAGGATAGTTGTCGGCAGGCAAACTCAAGCTTAATCAGTGAACATTCAAGTTCTCAGCTGGCAGTTCAAAGCTTGGCGTCTTTCTATGCAAGTTTCAGATGGAGGGATTGAAGGGTTGATGGTTTACGGCTAGCGTTTTGCCAAGCACTTTGAAGGTCAACGTATGCGTTTCAAAGCAAGCGACAGGCTGACGTGTTGACGCTGAACGGCTAGTGTAAAAGAAAGGTTGAAGGGTTCATGGTTTGACAGCCAATGCGCTGAAATAAAAGTTGAAGGTTGAAGGGTCAATGGTTAAACAATTAGCTTGTCAAGTAAAGGGAATCACAGATTGATCGCACTTAAACAGTTGGTGTTGTTTCAAACAAGTGGCAGGTTGCAAGGCACTGCACTGTTCAAAACCAGCGAATGGTTAAAAAGGACATTAACAGCAAGTGCAGTTCAAAACAGGCTAAGGAAGGTCCGAGGGGTTAACTGTCAAAGCTTAGTGCTGATTTCCCACAGACTTCAGCGGGCAAACAAACGACCAGCCAAATCAATACCCGACAAAGATTGCTATTAGCAAACCAATAGGGCCCCACCCAAAGCCGAGTAGACGCCTTGTCCGCTACTAAAATACTTGGTGGTTCGTTGATCCGTTGAGAATTCTTGCAACCTAGCGAGAGGATCCGCACCCAAGCCAAGAAAGAAAGAGACCTGGTTGGCGTGCTGGTGCTTAAATGCCAGCAAGGTTTTCTTCAGTCAAATGAAGTCTGACCGGGGCAATGAGATCTTGGTACAGGTCGGGTCACACTCATCCATGTAGTATGGGGGCTGTCTTTCAGTTGGTTCGAAATAAAGCCAAAACCGAACACCACCCATCTATAGGGTCCATTTCCCGATTTTCTGACACATCCTCAAGGCCCACTTGCTGTTTCCATCCGAGGCACTCACAAGACCTTGAGGCGACCCTCGTGCATCTGGGCGACGAAGCTGTCCATGAAGGCACCCAAGCTCTCCCTAAGCAACCAACAACGGTGACGGGGGAGATGTAGAAGGGGGTATGCATTGACATTGGTTTGACCCACAGCCATATGCATAGACATGCCCATGCATAGAAGACGCTGGCAAAAACAATTTGGACGGGCCTCAAGGCCCGTCTTTCCCTGAAGCGCCCAACTGCCTATCTTCGCAGCTCTTCTCGGAGCATAGGGGCAACATGATGTTTATCCCCCGGCGCCTTCCTTCATGCCACTTCCCAAAGGCCGCTTTCGCCTGGAAAGAGGCCAGGTGGCCCGAAGGCATTCTTGCAATGCGCGCGTGTCCAGCGGTTTGTTGTGGGGCTGAGCAGTTGCCGCCAGATGCCAGTGTCTTGGGCTACCTCTGCATGTTCTCTGGTGCATCTTGCTCTGCGCTGAGCGCTATTTGGTTGCGCACAGCCGCCGACTTTAGCGGAAGAACTTTCTGCAATAACTTCGGCAAAGCTTGCGCCAGAGCGGCGAAGCTGTACTTCGCGCGGCTCAAAGGAAGCTTCGAGCGTTTACTTCGCGCACATTCGTTCATTCTCTTTTTGGAGCCGGAGCTGCGAATCGCGTCCTGTGCTCAACACTTGCGATTCCAGCTTACTTGGCGTGCTGTCGCATGAAACGCTGCAGTAGGCCGTTGGCTTCAAAGAGTCGCGAAACAAACTTTCGAGATTTCCCGAGACAAGTAGCATCTCCCCGACCTTGAGAGGGTTGCAAGTACATCTTTTCCTGAAAATGCAGTGATGGATTCGTTCCAAAGGCAACAGTGGAAATAAGTAAGACATATATATGCTTGAGCAAATGGAAGCTTTCGAGCGGAAATGCTCCAACCAACGACCGTCAATCAGGTGAAATCACCCCCAACCAACCAACCAACCAACCAACCAACCAACCAACCAACCTACCTCACACAGCAGTACCTCCCAGTACTTACCTATGTGTAGCTGCCCACCTACTGGTCTCCTTGCCTGCCTACCGACCTAACCAGCTACCACCTTGAATTGGACAAGGCCAGCTCGCGGGCAGGCCCATGCTGCCACGCCGCGAGATGGCTGCCACAGTCTCCGGCTCCTGCGGCAAACCCTAGCTGTCCGACAGTCTCCTGTCCAAAACATGTGCCTAGGTACACTCATTCGGCCAAAATCTGGAACACCAAAAAACATGAGTTTCCTGAATCTAGTCCAAAGTCCATGTTTAGCCCGCACTCTCAGAAAACATCAGAATAGCGTTGAACACAGTGCATCCTCCAACGTCTTTCAGACTACTTTCGACTCTGGGCCTCCAGTGCACAGCACCAAACCCAGACCAGTGGCTTCCACGCGGAACAGGGCCTTTGCTTTGCTGGTTTTCCATAGCACTTGGGACAAAGTAATGTGAGTTTCATGGGGCGCGTTTGCTGAAACCTTTGGGGGTCCATTGGCTCGAAGGCCGGTCTGGCACCAAGTAGTTCAGGAACTCGGACCAATACTGAGCAATCCACCGGTTCTGGGCAGTCAAGGGCTCTTGAAACGGGGATTCCAGACAAGACCTGAAAACCGGATATCTCCACGGCTGTTCACCTCGGCGAACAACTTCGGTGCTTGGATGTTCAACCTCTTGCGAGTTTGGACAGCGGCCAGTCTGCGAAACTAATCCTACTTCATGGTCTTCCCCAAATGAATATTCCTCAAGCGGGTGATTTTACAGGGTTACTTTTCAGGAGTCCAAGCGGATCGACTCCTCCTCCAGGTCGCGCATCAGTGCCACAAATGCGCCGGCAGTCTGCACGCGGTTCGTTATGCCCCGGTATCGCCGGGTGCCCCCGAACCTGCGGGAGCCAGAGACTCCAACCGCCAAAAACGGGTGCAGATCCCTTCGTCCCTTTGAAACGCCGAAAATCAGAGGAATTTCGGGGAAGCACTCGCCCCCCGGGGTCGACACTAGTTTCTGGACCCTTGCACCCAGTGATCTGAACATTTTGAGCCGCTGTGTTTAGCGGGCCCGATCCCTACCAAGCAAAACGGAATTGGAGCATGCCCACGGAACAAGTGGGGGACGAGGCGTCCTGCCGCAACACCACTGATGCGAGATCAGTGCTCATTTGACTACGCCAACGCGCTGCCACGTTAAAAGCATCATGCTGAGTTTACTGACTCACGCCTAGAGCCGAGAGCAAACTCGCGATGGTGCGGACAAAAAGGCCGGCTCGTGAATGCACATACGCCGGAAGACTCTACCACGCACGCACGCACGCGCACACCACACAACACAGCACAACAACAGAACACAACACAGAGACACAACACACACACAAACACATGCGCTCGTAGGCAGTTGAACATTTGATTCTTTGGGTGAATGATAGCAGTTCACAAGCTGAAAATGAAGTTTTTCTCGAAGGATCCCCTAAGAAAGACACCTTCAACCAGGGCAATTTGGTCGCACACCCCAATCTTTGTGAGGTTTAAGTCATGAGATACTGGCACCTAGGATTGCTAAACCGCCGGGGGTTCCCCAATAATGCACTAGCTCGACAGGCTGATTCATACAGCGCATGAACACGAGAAGTCGCCAGCAAATGGCAGTAACGCGAATTGATACGGCCAAGCGACTCCTCGCGCGAGGCATTGACAAAGCACCTTCGGGCAACGCTTCGGCCACAGCCGACCGACAGATTGTGCGTTCGCGAGCATGTCGGAAACCCAAAATCAACAGGTGTTTCCGTTTTGGAAAAACATGGGGTTAGCTCGAAGGGAAAACAACCAGCAAAAGTGCAACAGCCAGTTCATTCACCGTAGGGTTCATGCTGGCTGGGAGAGTTCGGCTGAGTTTGAGACACCAAACTGCTGCTTTTCTTGAGGGCATGCATAGGTTCATTCCTGAACCTGGCAATTCCCTGATAGCCAGCAAGCAAGATTGCGCCTTTGTGAACATTTTCCCATTTTCCAAACGTAGTCTTTGTGTTTAAAGGGAAACTAAAAGGACTCCGGCCCCCAGTGACAAAAACATGGCAAAGGCGGCACTATACACACCGCATTCTATTCTTGAGCCATGATGTCACGAGGTGTCGGATTCACCTCAGTGTCAAGGAACACAACGAGGCCATCTTCTCCCATTTTCGTAGGCTCCAACAACCCCTTTCCCCCAAACCCCCCTTTTCACCATTCCACCACGGAAGTCTTCTTTGAATCCAACAAACTGCGCATATGCTATCGAAATTTTCCTTTTGGTATCATATGGCTGTGGGGAAGAAATAGGTACCCCAAATGGAACCCTGGTAAATGGAAACACGGACTCAAACCTGCGGTCCCCTGGTTGAATTTTGACCCATACCCATATGCCCTTTAAAACCAGAAAAACTCAAGATGGGCGGCTTCCCTTTCGCCCTGAAGCCATCCAAATGGGGTGATTACAAGGAACTTCCCACCTGGGCAAGGCTGGGTCCAGCCACTGGTTCATCTTCTTGCACTGCGCCCAGCCTGCGGCTTCTTGCGCATGCTGAAACCCGTGCCGGCCCCAACACACACCTCCGGTTTTGGTCGAATTTAGTCTTCCCGAAGAGGGTGAGGGGAGGTGTGTTTGATTGGGATTTCACAAGCGTTGTCAAGCCATTTCCAACTGGTGTGCTAGTTTATAATTACATGAGGGGTCCCTTGTGGGAATGAACAAAACAAATGTGGCTGTTCTGCGCGCAGAGACACAAACACACAAAGGGTTGTCTTTCCGCCACATGGCAACGCGTATGGCTGGGTCTTTTTGATTGGGCACCGGCATATTTCAACCTGCGAACCCAGCACCCAAGTCATCATGAATTGTTCCTGAGGGGTCCCTCCCGTCAAGCAAAGCTTCAATGGGGACCGTCCGTAGGAAACGGGACCCAATTGCTGGCGACCTACGTAACATATTCTGCGAAAGGACCTTACAAAAACAAACAAATCCAGCGCCTGTCAAAAACAGGCAGCAGGCTTGAAGCTTTTCTTTGGGCAGCAAGCTACCGACACGAAGACAAGAGCTAAACAGCTGGAACTCTTGATCAGTTTGGTTTTGAACTAGCGTTCCCAAGGTATGATGTTCGTTTGCACTCTTTCGTAGACATCCAGTGGCAAGTGGTTGGCGGGCATGAATCTCCACCAAAATGATGCCCCCGATTGAAGTTTACACTCATAGACTCATATCCATCTCTCACCCCTTGTGGCTTGTGGCTTACTTAAGGGCGGGGGGCGAAATAGCACTCGCGCCTGCAGTTCGCGCCGGGACGGCGACTTTGGGGGCGTCAGGCATTGTTTCAAACGTCCAACGGAGCATCGGCTTCCATTCGACGTCGCAAGGTCAAACTTTTTCCAAGGGCCTTGGTCAAGCAGGTCAACTTGGAAAGCCTTGACCAAGTCGGAGCCCCTGATCAGAAGCTTGTAGGAACCCCACTTCTGCTTGGGAGATTCCAATAAATGAGGACGCAAACGAAAGTCAGCGGATAGCCCAGCATGTTGTGAACAGAAAAAGTACACCCTTTCCAAGACACGGTCTTCCAAAAGAGTCTGCGCGCCAACCATTGTTCTCGCGAGGGTCTGAATGGACGAATAGTTTGCGTAACTTTTTTCCCTCACGGGGCCTAAAGTCTCTCGATCAATCCCTACAAAGGTTAAATCGCCCCAATTCCGCATTCCTGGTCGTGCCGCCTGGGGTAATGCAACTATGGAATTCCAGACATCAACCCCTTCCCCAATTGCATTCTTTTTGCGGTGGGTGCGTGTCAAAATAGGGGCACCTCCTGTTCTCTGTTGGCTTCCCAACAAAAACGGGAACACTGACAAAAGGGTACCTAGATAAATTCACCCCGTCGCCCTTTGCTTTCAAAACGGACCGATCAAAGGCGCCCTCCAAAAACCGGCCCAAAAGACGCACTCGATGTGAAACGGCGAACAGAGTCCACTCCCAGCCCATTTGCCAAGAGTCTGCGCTTTAGGCTCTCGGGCTTGCGATTGGACACCTCCATTTTGCTCGCTTGCTCGTAAGTAGGTAAATGGTCATCCATTTCCTGCTCGTCTTGTCCCTTAAACCCCAAAAGTTTAACATTTTGAAAGTCGGGCTTTGGACAACTTAGGTACCAGCACCGGACATCGAGGTCCAAACGTCACACTTTTTGGGAGCCAGCCACTGAGCTGTCGCTCTAATATTAAGCCTCAAAGTACGAGTCGCAAACCCCCACCCCCCCGAGTCTGGGACTTCAAACCCCCCCCCAAAAAAAACAGTTTGAAAGCGAGGCGGACAAGCTAGACACGCCAGGTACCAGCACCCCCACCCAGCCCCCCCCCCCTCCCAACCACCGCTGCGTGAAAAACCCCGCCTCCGTCCAGCACCACTACGCGCCGCACGCGGGGTTCAGTGTCGCCAAGCGCCGCCAGCTCCGCGGCGGGCAGGGCGAGGTCGGAGGGGAAGAGCACCACGGTGCCGGACACGTCCTCCCTCGGAGAAGTCTCCCCACGGACGGGGTTGGTAGGGTGTTTCGGTATTTTGTATCTTTTTGGGGGCATTTAGGCATTTTGTATGTTTTTTTGAGAGCGCCTGGTAGTGAAATGAGATTTGTTCTAAGCAACGGTCAGCGGATGAAATTCTCGCGCTGAAACACGGCGAAATAGAGGTTCCCAAAATCCGATGTCATTCGGGGACACGACAAATGGGTCTGTTCTTTGGACGGTCCTCTGCGCACTTTGATTCAGGGCAAGCCAACAGTAGCCACCATTTTGGTGGCGGCCGTTTTGTAACACATTTTAGTGGAAAACAACGCCAACACAAGAAAACGGTCCCTCGAAAAAGGTTGAGCTGGTTGGTGTTAAAAGCCTCGAATCGGCTCATTTGCTCCTGGGTTTGCAGCAAAATTGCCATCTGCTGTTCATTTGCCCATCCACTAGAGCTAGTGAAAGCAGACACCAATCGGGTTTCATTTATCCCAACGAGCGGAGTGTCTTCATCCACAATATGAACCCCTGAGCGCAATTTGATTGAGCGATGCAGCACGGGGGTCCTCGGCCTGTCTGAGTTTCATTTGCTTCAAGCAGCAGTGCTATGCTATCCTGCTGGTGTTTACTGGGACGTGTTCATGAGTGGCAAATGTAAAGATAAACTTTGCCATGGCCACGGACACATTTCTTGCACTCCCTTTTTCCTGCCCTAATGTTTCCTTGAAGAAAAAGGAAAAAGGCCAACTCCTCTCCTTTTTGGACAGTTCCTGAGTGAATTCCGCGCTTAAACTCGATTGTTGTGGTCCCAAGAGCAAGGTGGCTGAGTGGATTTCATCCGGGGAAACCGGAAGTTCTTATGGGTCCTCTGGCCGACCACATGTCCACCTTGACGAAGACCAAGAAATGCCTCCCTATGTTTCCAATCTAGCATCACATCACCTATGTGCCAAACTGGTGTTCAAAACCACCAAAGTGGACAAATACAAAACCCGGTGAAGAAGCAAATGGCACTTAACAAAGGCCGGAACATAAAGGGCGTGGTGACTGATTCGAGACAAGTTGCATCGAAAAGAGAGCTTTCTAAATTGAAAATATGAACATTGCAAGTCGGCCGGGTGGACTCTTTCTCCATGCGTTTCTAACCCAATGGCTTGTCTGACCCCACCGAGCCGATTCTTGGGCTCTACTTAGATCGAGGGTTTTGGACAGGCAGAGCCCTTTCTTTACACAGGCCACACACAAGGCAAACCTTCGATGCAGCAGAATCCTGGACCCCACAACTCTGAAAAATGGGCGTGTCTTTCTTAGGGGTCCCCAACAAATCCAGCCAAAAGGGGCCTCCCTAAGAAAAATCAAACATTTCGGGGCGTGCGAGAGTAGAGGCTCCTCTGGTTCTCGTATATAACGAATTGCCCCATATGCTCAAGCTCAGTCAGTTGGAAACAAAGAGTCCTTCTGACATTTATGGACACAAAGGTTGCCCTAACGTTTCTTGCAAGGGTGTCCAAATTGGGGATTACTGCAACTATACAAATTGATGTCAAAAAGGGATGTGGCCATGGGTCAAAATCCAAATCGTACCCCCAGTGAACATCCCAATCCCCACTGAAAAAGACAAAACAATGGGTGGCGAATTCACCCAATCTAAAATGGGATCCCGTTTAACGGTTTTGACAACAGCCATGTCAACGGGAAGCAAGGTCGGACGTCAAGGCGGCCCGTAGCGATGTAGCGATGCCTCAGGAGCTCGGTGAGCTTCTGGTCGTGCTCCGGCAAGCCGCAGCAGAAGAGCTCGGCCCCCAGCTGACGAACCGTCGGGTCCCAAAACGCGGGAAGTCCATGGACTCCAGCTGACCAGCTAACTGGTGAGTTCACGAATTTCCCAGGCAAAAGCCAAGGGAAATCAACTTGCAGCTGAAAACCAGCTTTAAACCCAGCGGCCAAACGGAGCATCTAACCTTGCAAACCCACACCAAGCCAAGTGACCCTGACAATTTTAGGAACCAGGGCACAGGCGCCTACTTAAAGCCTCAATCAACTAGGACCCCCTTTTACCCTTTGAGAGGGCTGGTAAGGCCGTCAAAGACGCCATGTGGGCTGAGACCATCTCCATGCAAAACATCAAAGAGCTAAGCTGGCCAATATCCCCGCCAACACTTCTTTCCTCTGGTCGGAATGGCGGAGAACACAGCGGGTTCTTGAGTGCGGGTTCTTGAGGACATGCTTGAGGCAAAATCAGGTTCTGTTCTCGGCTTGGTGGCTGTTTCCCTTGATCAACCAATGATTCATGTTCAGTTCTTTCCCTTCTTTCCGCCAATCAAAAAAGGGCGCCAAAGCAACAACGCTGCACATGGGGCTGTGTTTCTTGACGTACCCTGTGTGGAGTGGGCAAAAAGTAAACAACCGGACAAAAAATAGGACAGCCAACAAGAACACCAGCCCTTTCTTTGGCTCCCTTGACAAACGCACCGGTTGGGCGAATTATGGGAACGCCCCCAATTGAGGCTTTCCCTTGGTGTCTCTTTTCACCCCTCCCCCCAAAATACAACAACAATAACAAGAACAACCAAAAACAACAAACACTAAATAAATTGAATACATATGTACCCTAAAAACCACACACACATACACACTCGTATTCAACAGATATCTGTTGGCTGACTCTTTTGTAGCCTGAAGACCATTGGACTCTCACCGATACAAGGGCGGGTTTCGTGAGCGTGTCCTGCTTGGGTTGGCTTAACTGCAGAGAATCCGGTCCCCTATTTTGAGACAAACCCACAATGCTCTGGGCGCATCATGCCCCCTCAAATGGAATCAAAGTCCCTTCGCGGTGCACCCATCGCCCAATCAGCAGGCCCGCCAGAGTCAGCAGCACTGCTGTGTTGGTGGCTGAATGTTGTCCGAGCTCCTGCACTCTCAAACATCCTCAAAAACAGCAGAGTTTTGTTCAATATAGAAGGGTTCCACTGGTTTCAGTGTTTCAGCTTGGTTCCAATTTGCTTTTGCGCTTTCTCAAAATTAGGGCTCCCAACAGGCTCTGTCAAGGATTGCCGCCCTGTCAAATACCGTGGGCAAATTCCACGCCGAGTAGCACCAGTTGGAATGGATGAAACCCTATTAATACTGTGATAAATCACTGATCTCAATTGGTGGATTTCGTCCATTCACAGCAACCCTCACAAAGGCCAAACAAAAGCGATCTGTGAGCACTTGATGACCATTGACGCCTCCCAACCAAGAACTGCTTTTCTTCAGCGTGGACAAATGTATGCATGTTGGGCCATCCCGCCCATTCACGTCTACTCCAAATTTGTCAAGCTGCTGCACGAATAGGAAGCGCCTGCCAAAGTGAATTGCTGCGAAGCCCAAGATCAGTCTCCCGCCTTCGCACTCAGCTCGCATGGCCATATGTCAAACTAGGTGGCTTCCAATTGGCTTTCCTGTCTGTTTCTGTTGGAAGCTGGCCCCTCACACTCGAGATCCAATGAGAAACAGGAGAAAAAGGACCGGGAAGCTACTCATTCAACCAAACACTTGAAGGTTGATCCAGCGGGGCTGATTGTAGCTGCTGCTAGGTCCTCCAGTAGAGGTTAGAATAGGGGTACCCTTTTTTTCTGGGGAACCCCCCCCCAAAAAAAAGGGCAAAAGGGCACCTAGCTGGGGGACCTAAGGCTTGTCAAACCAACGGCCGCCTTTGCAAACTTGGTACCGAAGAAGCTACCGGCTGGCGGCGCAGCTGGATCCTCATGGTGGAACAGCACGAGGATCCGCGGGCGCAGCTGCACAGGGCGCATGGACTCACAGCAGCAGTGCTGCGCCACTCGCCAACATCCTGACATATGGCACGGCTAAAATATGGCAATCGAGCTCCCTCTCCCCCGCCAAAATCATGGAATTCTTCTTGGTGTTTCATTGAACCTGCCCAAAAGGGATCCCTCCAATGAGGCACCCGCACACATATATTCCAGGGGCACCACAAGCACAAGAAGCATTGGGTGGCCCCAATGGGTTGTGACAATGGAACCTGGGAAGCTATACAGATGCTTGTCTTTTCGGTAGAAGCTGGAACTCGTTTGCGATCACTCGATCCTGCCTTTGGGCGTAGATGTCAAGAAGCGCTTCTTGCCCCCAATGTTTCACGTAACCAATCACTTCCAACCATAAATACCCTCATCAATTGCAGTAAATACGATGCACAAGCCACCCCCCATCTTTGGGCCAACATGGGAATTGTGCTATCTACTTTCCTTGCGCACTTGCTTTGAACCACGTTGGCATCCACCGCAACTCGCAAAGATGCCCGGCTCTTTGACTACTCTGCAGACGGAGCGACCTGGAAGATTCTGGCAAGGCACGAGAAACCTGCTGCCTTCAACGCGTCTCAACCCATGGCAAAGAATCAATTGGGCACTTCTTGCCGCATGAAGTTTATTCAGGCTCCCGAGGCGCGATAACTCAGGAACCCCCCAATGGATATTCTCATCAAATGGCTCAGGAACCTCTTTGGCTACTTGGGGCGCCGCTTCATAGCCGGCCCTATTTCCAACACGCCTCAAATTTAGAAGCTTAGACACGCGACTCCATTCGCCAGGCGTCGCGGGCACTTGACGCCAGGATCCGCCAGGAAGTCGCAGTACCTGTGCGGGGGGGGCGTGACTCGAAATCGTTGGGACGCCCTCTTTTGAGATCTTGGATAACCAAAAGCAAACTCCAACCATTTGGATGGGTCGCTAGGGACGAGGTGCATTCCTCCATTTGAGTGGCAGCACGGGGCCTTTGGCTCAGTTGCAAGACAGTGACTGTGGGGCGTGTCTGATTGTCTTGATGGCACCCTTCGGGTCGTAAAGGGAAACCACAAGGAATCCGAAGCCCCATGGTGAGATGGCTCAGTTCGGGGTCATTTCCTCCTTCCCTGAGCAAGCAAGGGACACGAACACTCGGAACCCCGGAGCCTTGGTTGCGCAACTCGGCCCTTCAGGAAGTGATCAACTAATCCCGGAAATATGATAAGTCCCCATTTTGCGTACCAACCTAGCCACTTAGGGCGGTCATCCGGGCACCAGTTGCAAAACAAAAGGGTTTCCCTTCGGGTGGTTCCCCAATGGCGGCTTCCCTTTGTGGCAACTGGGATGGTGTCATAGCGGCGATCCGTCAGAATCCGTTTAGGAGTCTCTTCCTTTGAGAAACCCACAGCCAAACAGGTCGCCCTTGGGTCCCGAAGCCTGCCTCCTCCAGCAGGTCAAGGCCCTGGGAATCTGGAACCGTCGAGATGGGCTCCGAGCGCGGTCCTCTTTGGCGCAAAGAGAGTGGGTGGGTTTGGTATGGTGTGGATGGGTGGCTAGGTCTCGCTAACGGAGTCCCTTTGTGTGCCATTGAGGAGGGGGAAACCATTTGAAATCAGCTGTCAAAAGAAACATGCTGGCTGAGTTTGATTTAGGGGGGGGTCTCCTTTTCCCCCCTGATGCGTGGAGTCAACATTAGCCAATGCTTGCCTTGCCCTCACCCCTGAAAGGGCACTGAGCCACAAAACACAAACACGCCGAGTTTGTAAGGGTCTGCTCAAATGCAAAAAGAAGTCGGTGGTTTGGTTTCCCTTCACCACTCGAAGGGTTCCAACCCTCAAAACAAGAGTGAGCCATGCGATGCTTTGTCCGCATGTTGAAAAGCAGGGGAGTTCAAAGTGCAAAGTCGCTTTCTACGTTTGTTTTTGGGCTTTTCGTTTTACGTTTGCATTTTTTTCTGCGTTTGGAGCCCAGACTAAATTAAAACCTTCGGCTTCTGCCTGAAAGCTCTAAAAGCATCTTTACCTGCGAAATCGTCGCTTTTGTTTTCGAACAGCGACTTCTCTTTCAGTGTAGAATAAACCACACCGTGAACCAAATGAGACACAACTTCTTGGAGAAGCTCCTTTTTGCCATACCTCTTGCGAAAAAAAATAAAAAATCTAGTTCTCTCGAACAACTGCCTTGCCTAGCCTGGCCTTTTGGACATGGGCCACGAGAACGAGCTCACGCACCCTGATGGCACTCGACGCAAAGCCGCAGCTATGGCCGGCGCTGGCCACCTGGCCACCTGGCTCTCCGGGCCACGGCAACTTGCCGCGCACGCAGATATGGCTGCGGTTGCTGTGGTTGGGGTTAGCGACCCTAGGAAGGGGAGCAAACCATTTTCACTTTTAGCAGTTGAGTGATTGGATTTCAACCACTAGACCACAATAAGCAGATTTGTAAAGTGTTTCCCAGCAACCATGGGAGAAGCGTTTGGGTTGACGTGCCACCAAAACAAGAAGCGGCGGGGACCTCCAAAACGGATGTCGGGACAGCGCGGTCCTCGGCCAGCGCGGGCGGGCTCGCCATGGGCTCAACCAGTCGGGCCATGCCCTGCGCTTTTCCGTGGGGTGTTTGTGTGGCTTTTCCCTGGTGGTTGGTTCGAAACGGTGCCGAATGAAGAAGTCAATCGCCTGGGCTTGGACCCTGTAGCACCGCATGTCCATCCAGTATCTTTGAGGGTGCTCTTCTAGCCAGACACCTGTTGTCGTTTCTGTTGTCGTTTTGGGGGCTCCTTCTTGCAGCGCACTCCCACGCAAATTAGCCAGTCTGTGTGGCTATTGCCGCTTCTGCAAAAAAAAGGACCCCAAGTTTTCCAAATTTTGGCCGGTTTGCGGGAAAACCACGGATATTCCCAAAACGACAGTTGTCAATCCAATCATTGGCCATCAAGCAACGTCACAGTTGCCCAGTGAGCCTGGTAGAGTCTGGTAGAAGTGGAACGCTTGTTGGTTCCACAATCTGTCGTCCACACGTCCCGATATTTGCAGGATGCCAACACTGAGCAACTGGGATTGGGGTTGACTTTTTTTCGTGTCCTCCGAACATCCACTGAACTGGGATATGAATCCCCAGAGAATCTGCCGACTGCAGATCTTGAGCCCATGGCGGGAGCTACGGGAGTGAGGAAAACACCCAAATCGGGTGGTGTGTGTTCCTTTTGTCTTCCTGCAACAAAAAGAGGACAAAGGCACCCAACCGACGTGTCCACATACCAAAAAGCGCTTGACATAGAATGGGCACGTAAGGGGTGTACAGTGTACAACTGTAGTGACCATGGGACATAAACAAGGTGCTGGTTGGGCCCGCACACCGTAGCAAGGCCATGCTGTTACCAAATGGCAAGAGAAGCGCAGCATAGGATCCAAGCCTCACCCGATTTTCGACTTCAGGGGCCAGCGGCTGGATCCGATCGCGTGAAACTGAGGCGCAGGCCGCACAAAGCCTGGGCACGCCAAAGGCAGGGCTGGATCGCTGGCTCTGAGGAAACAATTGAAAACGCCTTGGTTTCTCTGAGCCAGAAAGCTTGGCAGGCTAGGGTCCTCATGGTCTCTGAAAGCCCAAGTGGCCGTCCGCGAACCCACTTCACGAATTCTCCAAAGAGGCGCTTTCTGGCGACATGGAAGTGGAAACCGAGCTTCCCATGAAACATTTGGGCTCAGGGAATCAAGCTTGGGGTTTTGGGAATGAACCTGAAGGGGATAGGCAAAGTTGGATGGTTCACCTGGGGATTCCAACTCATTTCTCGCTCCTTGCTCTCTATCCTTTCAACCCACAAGGACACCCACTTAAAATTGGTTCAACAGCTGAAAGAGCCACGAAAAGGGCAGCATGGCTGTGGTTGTCAAAAATCGGGTAACCCCAAAATGGCTTGCCCTGGTAAACGGAACCAAAGACTAAAACCCGCTGTCCATTTTCTGGCTTAATTTTGACCCACACCCACATGGGGAGCTGGAAAAAAGGGAGGCACGCCTTGTCTCGACGGCTTTTTTTTGGGGGACCTCTTCGCGACTCGGAGGCTCCGGCAGCAAGCAGCCCTGGTCTGCGACTTGCAGCAGCAAGCTCCATCGGTTCCTCGAGTCGGCGATCTCAAACTCGAGCCCGATGGGCTTCGGTTTCGTTGGGTTTTCCGTTGGGCAAACAAAAAACCACCGAAGATTCTACCAGACCGAAAGGGCATCACATGTTTTGGCGGTTGCTTACACCACCATGTTTGGGAGTTTCATGGTTGCGAATCCTGGGGGTTTAAAGCGGTTCAGGCTTGGTTGTCTTGGGGACTGGGCTGCGTTTCGGCCAGGTTGCCAGACTTGGAGCTGTGGGTTTTGGGTTGGGTTGCGGTTGGTGGAGAGATGGGTTCACTTTGGGCTTGAGTTGGGTTCAGGGTTGATTGGGGCTTAGAGACTGGTTGAGTTGGGGTGCTTTTGGGTCCCAGACAATGCATCCAAACACCCCGAGCATGGACAATTGGGTTACGGTGTATGAACTGAAGTTGGGATAAAGCTGGGGCTGGGCGGTATTGGTTTAGGTTGGCTCTAGGGTTGGTTCGGGCGGGTTTTTTAGGCTGGGTTTGGCTGGGATAAGTCTTGGGCTGAGGGGGTAAGTGCGCTAAAGATTGAGAGTGGGGCGGGTTGAGTGCTGCATTTCGGGTGGGTTTAGGTTTAGCTGAGGCCACAGAAAGCCAAAGCCGATGCCAGGAACAGCAAGTAAACCAAATCAAGGAACTAAAGCGATCACCCTTCATTCTTGCCTGGCTTACAAGCAAGAGAGCTGTGAAAGGTCAAACGCAGATACCTTATAGAGGCTGCCTTGTTTCCTTTTGACTGGATGGTCATTTGAGGGGCTGCAAGGCACTGCGAAGGAACGCAATTTTGCCCGGGTGGTGCTCCGCTTCTGGAGGAGGTTTTAACCCATTCTTCGACCCGCCGACCGCCGGAGCTCAGTCTCCGGGTCCCCCGGCAATCCCAGCAAGTAGGCCCAAATCTCCCCATCCTCGCGATCTCGTGCTGGCAAAGCCGCGAAACAGCTTGCTCGGTCAAAAGCCAGTCAGAGTTGGAATGACCCAAAGTGAACCTTGTGGTCTTCTTTCAGCTAGGCTCCTTCCGAAAAGCTGACTCTTGGTTCTAGGTGGTTTCGGTGAGAAGCAGAACCTGCTAAAATGGCGCTGTTTGAACTAAAGCCTTTGGGTTGTCTGAAAGGGGACAAAAGGGTGGTTTTTCAACCAGCTCGCCCAATTCTGGTCAAAGGTGTCGGGAGAGGGTGCCCTAAGGATACACGGGAGACTAAGCCTTTAGCACTTGCTACACGCCAACCTACCTTTAGGACAGCCCCCCTAAAGCGCCGTTTCCAAAACAAGCGGCCCTTAGACAGCCTTGAGGGGCGTGACATTCATTGGGGATTCTTCGGTGAACATTGTTTGGACAGGGACTCATGTCCAGCAACCACTGTTGAGGTGGCTCCTTTGAAAACCATGTCCATATTTCCGATGAAACATCTCCCCTAAGAGGAAGCTCGCTTCTTCCGTGAGTTTCCACTCACACAACCCACATGCTCGAGAGCTGTTTGACCATGGGCAAGATCCGCGCTCGGCACCGGTTGGTTTCATTCATTCCAGGTCGTGGATTCTGTAGCCCTCCCTAGCAGGTCCAACTCTGGACTCGCGCCAGCTAGGGCGCCCGCGAGGCACTGCTGAACGATGTCAGCGCACAAGTGCCCCCTGAGGCCGGGGGAGCGCAAAACGTCCAAGGGTGGAAGCGCCAGGAATGGGAGAAACTACCAAGTGCAGGACTTTGTCCACACTATGTACTTCCCCAAGTAGCCCCAGGCTTTATGCCGGGGACTTGTCACCTGACAACCTGGAAGATACCCTATGACATACACGGCAAACCTGGGCTTTGCATCTGCCCAAGCCCAGTGGCCATGGGAATAAGGATCTGCCCTTGTTGCCGGATCTGAAAAAGAAAACCAGGAAGAGGGCCGTGCTCCAATTCTTGGAGGGATGTGCCACTGACGGAAATACCCCGCCAGGTTGATGGATTTGAACTCAAGATCACTTTGGGGGTTTGCGACAATATACGCTTTCATCGCCAACCGCCTAAGCGTCACGAAGCACGGCCTGCGCATGATTTGGCTGCCACATGCCCAAGACACTGACTTTTTCCACGCATGTCACACGAACCGACCGCCGGCACGACATCGTAGCGCTCAAACAGGCATTCTACCATATGTTCTTTGGGCAAGCATTCAAGCAACAATGAGGCCAGCCTCTTCAGTGGCGGCTTTCGTTACAACCCATGGCTCACATTGTAAGGGATCAAGGACATTTCTGCAAACTCCCTTGTTTGCTTGCGGGATCCACTGCCCCGTACTTCATCCCCTGGACCTTGCTCCCCAACCTCATCTTTCGTCTGGTTGCCTCTTTGGGTCACACAAAGGCAGGGAATACTCCCACGAAATGGACACCCTTGATGAAACCCTTAGCCCAGAGGCGAGGGCAAACCGGCGGAGCGCCCCATCCCCGGTTCCGAACGCTGCGGCCCGCGCAGGAAGATCAAGAACCACAAGGCCCGAAAGACCAGGAAGGGGCGAGGCTTCATGCATGGCCTCGAGCGGAATCGCCCGTCGGGGAATTTTGCCCAGCACATCGAGGGAACCCCTGTGAAACCCGAAAACGTCTCAAAAGGGAAAACCTGAGCGGATCAAGTACTGACGGACAGAATGTAGCACCAGTTGGTAGGAGGCTTCGGGTATTCTCCATCCTACCTGGTTCAGGATGTAGTTACATCCACACTATGAAGTCCACAAACTACGGCAGTGAGCTTTGTAGCTGTCTAAGTTCCTCAAAAGGCCCATGACCGCCCCTATGCCCAAAGGTGTGCTTTGATCGAGGCACAAGCTCAGGCTTAAGGAAAGTCCCGACTCGGTCCCGACTCGACTTCCAATGGCTGATTTTTGAGAGCTCAGACTCCCGTGGCTCCCCAAGAGTCCAAAGGTTTCCTTTTTCTTGGGCTTAAAACGGTACAGACCCCGCCTTTCCCCCGGTTGGGCTAAAACACGACCCAAGTAAGCCGCAGCTCAAGACCCCGTTGCCTAGTGTTTTTTTTGGGGTTTTGGTGGGTCAGCCGGTTGCAACTTGCTCAGTGAGAGGAGTATCCGACCCCCCAAACCAATGCCCCGAATCCACATCCCGATTCCCTCACCCAAGCCCCCCCTCAACCCAAACTTATCAAACCTTCATAGCCCCCAACCTGAACCGAACACCTCCAGTAGAGAGGTTAGAATAAGGGTACCCTTTTTTTGTGGTCCAATGTAGTAGGGGAACCCTGCCAAAAAAGGAAACCTAGAATCAATTCCCGGGCCGCCCGCGAGGTGGCAAAGGCCTTGGGCCATTCCCAGTCCTCCCACCTGGCGCTGGGCCAGGACGCGATGGGAAAACGTGACCCAACCACCAGAGCCGTGGGCCGTGGGCCCAAACCGCAGCTTCGGCTTTGGTTTGCCACTAAGGAGCTTCCAACTCATTTGCTGAGTCTTGGGAAAACATGCCACGGGCGAATGCTTGAGTTAAAATGACAGATTATACTCGAAGCTACAAAAAAAAACTGTGGGCGCCCTTGGACCCCTTCGGCCAAATGTCAACATTAACCTGGGGGAGGGGTCCCAAACTAACAAACTTGACATGGCCCAGCAGTTGCACGGCTTTCAGAGGAGATAAAAAAACACGCCAACGTTCCGTTTTGAGGTTGTTTCAAAGGGAACAAAGGGACATCCTCAGTTTTTTTGGCTTTTTGGGTAGTTTCATTCTGTTACCTTGTGGATGGGACTCATGTTCCCCACTTTCCAAACAGAGCGTTGGAGAACTTGTGCTGCGTTAATGGACAAGGGAATGCCCGCCTGGGTCTAGTAAAGCGGTATGAAGCAAGACTGGCCGGTGTTTGGAATTCTCCAAATTACTCATTTGCTCGCGGTTTTGTAAAGCAATAGGCATCCCCTGCTCATTTGCTCCGTAAACGCCAACCCAACATGACTGGGTGTGACCGGTTCCTGCTTTTGAGGTCACCCCTTCTTGCAGTTGCGAATGGACAAACCAAGGGGAACTGACTCAGGTTCTAGGCACTGGAAGGATCTCTTACGACCGATCGGCGTGACTCACTCAACTCGCGCGCGGCAGGACGGAGCAAGCGAATATGAGAGGCCCATACCTGCGGCCAGGCTTCGCGCTGGCTGCGGTGCAATGATTTGAAGTTTGCAGTTCTCCCTTGCCCGCTTTCGGTTTCGGGGGTTTCGGGCCCCCGAACTGTGAAGAAGCGGTCGAACTTGCTGCTTGACTTCATAGACTCGGGAACAAACAGTCTCAGCTTCTGCCTTGCCACTCAACTTGCTTCCACGCCCTCGGGCCGTGGTTGCCCTGGTAATGTTGGGGGGGGGGAAAGGGGGGCCATGTCACCCCCCACTTTTGGGGCTCCATGTCACAATCAGCACAAGCTGCCACCTGCCAGCGCCAAGGACACCACCGAGTCAAGCAAATGGCATCCCGAAGCCAAAAGGAAGGGGGCGGGTTCTTTGCACCACTTTTTGTTACCAAGGAACCACTTAGCTTCATTTGCCAGGGTATTGGTTGGGTATGAACAACAAAACGGGAACATCATGAGTTAGATGGATCTACATCTGCCAAAATATGTTCGTGAGGCGCACCATTTAGGATCCTCAGTAAAAACTCACACCGCTTTCAGTAGGGAATAAAATCCCAGACATTGCTTGACGTCTTTGTCGACATCTTTCATTTCTTGAAGGGAGGCCGCTCTTAGCTCAGTTCTGAACTGGGGATTTGTCCCACATGGGTCCACACGATGCTCGACTTGGGCCGAGCCATGCAGACGGATCTGACTGCACACAGACTGCTGGGAAACCAAAAACTCAGATGCCAGTGGCCATGGGAAAAAATGGGCATCCAGTTTTGGTTGGTTGACTTTAAGGGGGAACCCTTCCAAGAAAAGGAAAAGGGGCACCGCTGGAAGGCCAAGACCGCAGCCCCGGCCAAAGAGGGTACGCTCTGGCAAGGAGCATCGAGCTGAGCTCCCGGCGTGAACTTTCGCACCCAGCCAGACGCTTTGCTGAAGCTGGGGGCGCTCGGATGCTTCCGGGAAGCGAATTAAGGGCCCTCGAGCCACAAGCTGCCGCGAATTTTGATGTGGATCGATGGTTTGTGCCAGGTGGTTTCTCCCAGTTATAGGGTTTCTTCCCCTCCAGATTGTCAGAGGTGCTGCATTACCTGGCAGATTTCGCTGGCATACTCTTATTACTGGAAGGCAGCTGCGAGGGTTCCGCAGATTGACTTCTTTTCGCAAAAAACTCGCTGCCACATGCCATGTTTGGGAGGGGCATGGTGCCCCGGATTAGCAAGTCTTTCAAATTTTCATCCGGGTTCCAATCAACTAGAGGGATGCTGTTTCAGGCTACTCATTAGCCCCCCTCCTCCACTAGAATGATTCTCAGAACCTTTCCAAGGCGTCTCCCTTCTGGGTTGTGGGGGGGGGTCTGGGTCTTACCTCCTAATGACAAAGGGTTTGAACTTACTTCATCTCTTGGTGGACATGAATGGGCTCGGCCCATCTTCCGTTGAACAAAGGGTGTATATTTGGGGCATTCTCCTCTTGCCTTCCGAATGCAGTCGGAAACAGGCCACATTTCTAATCTGGTTTCTTGGAGGAAACCATCAAGATTCCAGCCAAACACACGGATTCCCCCGACGTTCTTCGCCCGCCGTTGCTTCTCGATTCTGGCGCCCCCTCATTTTCTCCTCGCAGGAATTCTGCAGGAGTGGGCTGCGGTCTCTGGGGGAATTTGCCTGAGGCACAGCGCTCACTTGCCGAGAGGGTCGCCTGATGGAACCACAAATGGACCAAATCAGGGAAACCATGGGCCAGGTCGGCTTCGGGCAAGCGAGCGCTAGCTTCACATTTTTCCCTTGAAAAGGTGATGTGCGAGACAACCGCCGGTATTGACAACGCACGGATAGCGAGTCAACGTGACCCTCGCGCTCAGAAGACAACAGCAATTTCGGGGACAAAACAACATGGTGGGCTTACAATCAAAGAATGGGAATCTTCAAAACGTGTCTCCCTTTTGCTCTTTGAAATATCCCTACGGGATACCCTGGTTTTCTCACACCTGGTTTCCATCTCGCTTAGGCACGAGGTCATCGCTATGACTCAAAGCTCTGTCTCATCAGCCTCACCAAAGATCCAGGGGCTGATCGTGTCCCACCTTGGTGCTCACGAAGGTGGAAACGCCGCTGGGGGGGGGGGGGGGGAGGGTTTTGCAGGAGATGGTTTCCGGAAGCTGGACATGACCAAATGACGGTGGTGTCGTTGGCATCCTCCCAAAAGCCCTTGATCAGCAGCCAACCCGAAATCTGTCACGTATGAAGGATCCTGAACGGGACACATACTATAAGGGCCTGAAGAAATCGGAATGGGGATGCGGGGTATGGTAGGAAAAGTGCTAGCAACTATTCAGCCCCTCATGTTACTCATGTGTGCATGTGTCACAGTAGGGCGAACCCCAACATTGGGTGGTTTTACGTTGGTTTCCCTTTAAAGCCACACCAGAAAGGGGCTCCCAAAAGCCACGATAGGAAAAAAGGGCGACATCCCTTGTATGTCATCTTGGTGCAGCTGTCGCATCACTGGTCTCATCAACCAGCCCATGCTCAGCACAGAACCATGCACGCATTGGCGAAGGAGAGGGCGGCAAGGGCGCCTGCAAGCACATGGGGGGGGTCCCACTAGCGGGGGTCTTATCATTCTTGGACGGGAAGCCCCCTAATAGAACGCTTTTAACAATCTGGGGTGAACACTGCTGTATTACTAATTTATTCCCTCGACGCAAGGGTCCCATGGGTATAAAATCCTCTTAGACTCGAGATTGCCAGGTATGGACATGTTGCAAGCTTATGTTCTATGACACCTCTGAGCCAGCCCAAGGCACTTTTGGGCACCTGTTCATCAACACCAAAATAAGCCCAACCAACGGTGTGTTTGTTTGGGGTTTGCTCTCTAGCCCCCTGTTGGAGAAAATAACGGAACCCGCGTGTAGTGTAGAATCCCTCCTTGGGTCGTTCTTCTGCATTCCATCTCCTAGTCCTCTCTAGTCAACAGCTCGGTCCTGAGTCGATCGGCCAGACAAGTCTGAACTTTTCGTTTACCACTACAATATGGTCCAAACCCGAAAAGTGAAGATGAAGTTCGAGTCCTGGCACTCAGGGAGTGACAAAGGCAAAACCACGAAGTCCCCCTGGCCTCGTCCTCTAAGCTATCCGTCACCTCCGCGACTTCCTCCTCTGGCACGGAAGACGCCGCCGCCGGTTCCGAAGCGACGTCCTTCACCTCACCTGAGGCTCGAGTGCGGGGTGCTTTGGATGGTTTGCTGGGATCTTCAGGTCGAAAGGTGGGGCGCGACCGTTCCTGTCATCCAGGTTAGCAGGGCAGAAGCGACGAGTTATGACCTGAGTTGGTTCGAAGGTGTGCGGGATCCCTTCACCATGATGTAGGGCCCTATGAGCCCTCTGACAGGAAATGGACTCAAAGGGTCACCCTTTAAAGACGCCCCTCTTCAAGACCTTAGCGGGGGTTTAGGGGGCTGTGGTTCGCGGCGTGCCTCCGCGCGGCAGGGGTGGTCGCGTCGGAGCCTCAGGATTGAACCCAAAACTGGTCATCCGCAGAATCGCTGTGGTAAAATAGGCAACCCGCGTCCCCAAAAGCAAGCCAGGTATGTTTGCGAAGCGAGGCTCAACAACTGCACAAATGCTGTTGGTGGGGAAACAATCAAGCTGGAATTCGGGAAGAGCAGGGATGGCGGACTATGGGGAAGAACCCTACACCTCACTTTCTGAGATGGCCAAACCACTCCAAACTGCTTGTTTACCAGTAAAATGGTCCTCTGAACAAAGTATACAGTCCAGGAACTTGGAGAGTCAGACATTTGGTTAGGCGATACCCCGCATCTTCAATTTCCCATGGCCCCAAAGACCTTCTTTGTCCGATCTTCCTGCGCCATTCCCAATATCTTTTTTGTTCTTCTTCTTTTTCCGACGGTTATGGAACAACAAAGAGAAACCGGATCCCCCAACATTGAACTCTGACATAATGACGCCAACGGGGCAGACACGGAAAGAGTCCTTGGCCATGATCTTGCTCGAAGCAGAGCCCGAAACAAGGGAACATATCACGTCGACAACTCCCCTCCTTCACTTGCCCAGTGGCCAGAAGAACGGAAGGGAGACACCCTGTTTGTTGGCTTTAAGTTGCCAGGGGTCACCGAACCCACAAACCCTTCGGCCATGGAAAAGAAGGCGTGCCCTGTTTGGGAGGCAAACGTTTTCAGGGAACCCCGAACAAACGGGAAAGAACAAGAGGCAAACCATGGAAAATGCCCTCCCCCGCCCGGAGATCTGGGGATCCCTGCCATGCTCAGCATCATCGCATCCACCAAGCACCAGAAAAGGAACACCGCCTGCGCCGAGCGCACGCCGAAACGGTTGGCGGTCGCAAAGGGCAAATAACGAACAGAGCTGAAACTCGGGGAAAGAACAAACACATAATATTTACAGTAGTGACAGATTCCCTTTAAAACCAACAGGGGAAATTAAAAATATTCAAAAGCAAATGGAAGAGAACGAAACTGACTGCAAGATGACTTCACTCAAGAATGCTGCTTAGAATCTTGCTCCAATTCTTGGCGGCTTTTGCTCCCCAAAACGTCCAACTTGTTTTGTTGACTGCCGCTAAAGACACAGTTACCGGTCAAGAAAAAGGCTAATCATCCCACCAACTACGTAACAGTCAACACACAACCCAACCCGAAAGGGTACCATACAACAAATTACACGGCCGCTTCAACGGAGCTTTCGTTCTGAAACGCCTGAGGAAGCCTAGACAATTGTGCACTCTTTTGTCCTAGGTCCTCCAGTAGAGAGGTTAGAATAAGGGTACCCATTTTTCTGTAGTCTATTTCAGTAGGGGAACCCTCCCCAAGAAAGGGTAAAAGGGCACTACTGGGGGACCTAGTGTCACTTTTCTAGCACCTCTACAGGATCAGGCACTGGATTCTTTTATGGAATCCTAGCTTCCACTTGCAGGCAGAACTTGTCAACAGCACAACTCGCCCCCTGCAGCCGAGCCGCCGCAAAAAAGATGACGTACCTCGCGCGAAGCACGGCCGTGGCAAAAAGTCCGCCTTCTCAGGAGGGAAACAAGTTAAACTTGCGGGATCTTGACGAAGCATGGACTGTGGATAACCGTCCTTCCTTCCAGCCGCGTTGGACATCAAGGAAGAAAAAGTCGGCTTCGAGCAAGCGAGTTCTTGGTCGGTCATTGTAGTGCAGAACAACCTGGAACAACAATGGAAGCTTGATGTAGCTGACACCATGGACAGTCTGCCAAGTTGGAGTTCAAGGCAGGGGGAACCAAATTGGCAACCTACTGATGCTTGGTCGACGTTGAAAGGGGAGCAAACAAATACATTTTAGCAGTTAAGTGGGGATTTCCCACTAAACCAGAATAAGCAAAATGGGAAAAATGCTAATAGACTTTTAGTGGTTTAATACGGAAAACCCATTCGTTGTTGCAAAAAGTTCAAGTCCTAACATCCCTTGGCAAAATGCACCAAAGCTATGTCTGGAACTCGCAAAGGGTAAAACCAGATCTCAGGTGCCAAGGATCATCTTCGTGTTTTCAGAGTCCGTCGAACGCGTGGAATGGGAACTACAGTGTAATAAGGAAACCAAAAGGACCACCATTTCTGGGGTTCCCCCCAGTTGAGCCCAGGAATGCAAATCTGGAAAGTCGATGTTTGGGGGTTTCATATTCCGTTTGGAGACACACGAACCTCAAATTTACCATACTGCGAAATTGGACCTTCCTTGCACTTATCCTTCAAAACACCACACTCCGAGTTCAACCTGAGGCTTCTAACGTTACCACGGCCGAAGCGAGTGAGACTCCTTCGGAGATTTGCCCCAAGTGGTTCCCTCTTCGGCCTAACACAAACGTGACACTCATTGGGACTCATTCCCTGCATGCTTCATGCATTCCAATCTCTTTTGCAGCCTGTCTACTTTCTTATTCGGGGTGCCATCGCAGCCCTCATTCCTCATACCACTTTGAACCTCCGACTCCAGATTCACCTCAGCTCCTTGGAATGTGTCAGGCTCCAATTCTCGGGGCCGTCCCGAAGCCAAGGGACGGAATCGCAAACAGCCGACTGAGGAAAACCCAAAGGCACGGGTTCGAGGCTCCATGTAAGCGACATCCTCAAAAGTTGGCCTCTGGATGGATTGAAGGGGTTCAAACCCCAAAGCAATTTGGAGAAACTCGCTCGGTTTCCTCCATTTGCTTAAGTCCCCTGGAAAATACAACATTTTTCCAGTAGTGATAGATTCCCTTTAAAACCAACAGGGGAAAATAAACAAACATATTCTTAATCAAATGGAAGATATGCAACTGTCAGGGCCAAGCGCTCCACCCAGTGGGCCTTTTCAACCGTGACTCCCATCCCCGCGCCTGCGCCAGGGTACCGGCGCGAGGTCCTGTTCGGCATCCGCTGAGAAGTTTTGGGCTCAAAGAAAGGTGGCATTTTGTGGAGGTCCCCTCTGGCTTCCCTGCAAAAGAGAGGGAACCTACCCTACAAAAAGGTATGCCTCCCTCAAATAGGTTGCCTCTGGCGTCCTCAACAATTTTCCAAAGAGTAAGAACTGCGGGTATAAAGTGGAGGAACCCAAAGCAAACCTATGTTCAAAAGGAACTATCCAACATCATTGCGGGGATTGTGGCTTGGCACTCGAACTCTCGCTGACCTGGAAACAAAGAATGGACCTTCTGGGACCAACATGGACAAAGGGGGAGTTAAACATGAGTGGCCATGGGAAAGGAAGTTGATTCCCTCAAACGGACGGAAACGAGGGTGTCCATTTTGCTTGGGGACCCGTTGGAAAGGGCTTGATCCCGCACATGGGTCTTGAGGCTTCGGATGAAAGGAAGTGCTAAGAGATGCCTTACCGATTTGATGTGCAGATGGGGACCCGTTGGACAACAGGAGCTCTGTTCAAGGCTCCAATTATTTCGAAGCCGAAACCGCGAAACAAATCCGGCCTCCTCCTGCTCCGGCCCTGCAACGAAATGGCCCGAGAGAAGACACGCAGCGGGAAAGCACCGGGGCGCTCCAAGCTTTACCCTGAAACGACGGCTTGGGCCAAAGAAAAGCAACCGAAATCTAAAGGATCCGAAATTCCTGGAGGACGTGGCCATGGATTTTTTGCGTGCTTATCCTTTTGCAACATCTGCTCCAGGGATGCAGCCGAAGCCTGAAACTCATTTGCCCGGAGTGGTTCTCCAATAGGAATCGGTCCCTTAGCTGGTGTCCTGTGAATCTGCAAAACTTCTCAATGATCCATCCCCCTGTGGTTTCCCCTTCAATCAACCAGCAATAAACACATTGCTGTTGGGCAACCAAACCGGGGGTCCTCCATTTGCAAATGGAAAGCCCAAGCTGAAAGGTTGAACCGGTCGATGCGGAAGCAGGCCGAATCGTCTGTTTGAGGCCTTCAGGAGTGGCCGGAATCCCATGGGTCTTGACAGATGACCCACCCCTTGAGCAATAGAACATGTGCTGACAGGGTACTTGAAGTCGGGGGACACAAGCAACAACAAAATCTGCCGGTGTCTTCCCTACTCCCAACAATCATGGAAGTGCACGGTTTGAAAGTCCTTCGCCCTAAGAGCAGCTCAGCCAGCGCAAACTACCCAGCCAGTTCTGTGAACTCTGACAGTGGACCTTTGATTGGCATCATTTGGGGAACCGGGCTGTCCTCAGATTCGCGAACAGTTTAACCTTTAGTGGGTGAAATTCGCAATCCCCCCCCCCCCCCGGGAAAACCAACTAAAAGGCTACAAAACCTCTGTGGATGGCTGGGAAAGGTAAGGATTCTTGTCCCACTTGAGAGGTGGTCTCCTAAGAATCCTTCGCGAAAGGTGAGATCCCGCCTGGTGCCTCCTCCTCCAGCTCGTTGAAGCCCTGGCATCGGGGCTCCAGGTGGCACCCATGAACTGGACATGTTGTGTATGACTCCTGGGTGCTTTGGATGCTAAAGGCGCCAGGTCTTTGTTTTGCCGAGTTTCCGCTTTCGCACTGGCAGTAGGCTGCAAGTCGTGGCCTTCCTGACTCTCCAAACGCCTTCCATGAGCCCCTTAACAGGAGCCCGGCTGATGGAATCAAACGCATCGAGATTTCGCATGTACCTCTGCGGGCCCAAAGACCAAGGAAGCAACACCAACAAACCACCAAACAAAACAAACAAAACAAAAACACCAAGACCCACCAGAAACCACCGGAATATTTTTCGAAAATCGCCCTGGGGCCTTTCGCGCCATCCGCGTCAGCTCCTGCTGCACCAAGGGATCTGTGAGGTCCAGGCCGTGCTTCTTGGCATCCTGAAGCTCCCCACAAGGCAAAATCGATGCGGGTTCAATGGGGCGCCCGGATCTCCAAAAGCCTCCATTTGGTTTTTCCGAGCCCTGGCAAAAATGGGAAAAAACAATCCAGTGATAGATTCTTTCCAGTGAAATGGATTCCCATTGAAACCGACAGGGAAAAATGAAACATATTCTTAAGCAAATGGGAGAAAAGGTTCCAGCCAAGTAATCTTCAAACGGTTCCAAGAGCCAACCCAATTGAGTACCCGCCCAGCAAACATGGTGCCAATGACTGGACCATTCTCCTTTGCCCCTCTGAAGCAACAAATCAACTGGGGCTCAAATCCCAAATCCATGGAAGACACAGGGGCTCCACAGGGGCTCCCCGGTGTGGAAGACACACATAAGTTTCGGGTTGGGACCATCACCAATCTACACCTATAAGTTTCTAAGAGACGTGACCACCAAGCAAGCGGCAAAGTTTCTACAGGGGGTCACGAAATGCTCGCTCCAACGCCGGCGAGTTGCCCTTCCCTTTTCAACTCAGCATTCGGAATACGTAGAACAACAAAGCTACTTGCACGACCACCCCACGTCAGTGACGAGTTCACAAGTCCAAGTGGGATTTTGCCCTACACACCATCCACGCTTTGTTAACCAGGGATGCTAACCACTGACCAAGCGGTGTTCAAGCAAAGGATGCCTGCACAAGCAAGCCATGAAGGTCGTTGAACTCACTTCGGCCAAAAAGCATTCTATTCGCCACTCACCTGGGCAAAATAACAAAAACACATTCTTTTCTCACCAAATGGAAGCGGAGAGTGAGTAGGACCAACTTACCCTCATGCTTTCCTTTCCGGCCTCGATGAGATCGGGGGGCGGGTTCTCCCAATCGATCTCCGGCTCCTGAGTCTGTGCCTTCTTCACGGCCTCCGATGCGATGTGAGCGTTGAAAAAGCGTGGGTTGCCCTCCCTCAATGTACATGGAACCTGACGTTCGGGGCTCCTGGAAGAGCATCTTCCTGTTCTGGGTTGCCCGTTTTCCGATCCCCCGCGAAAAGTGACTCACTTTTAGTGGGTTCAAATGGAAACTACCACTAAACACTGAAAGGCTAAAAAGCTAAGGGGATGGCTGGGAGCCACCAAGTTTTAAAGGGATCCCCTGTCAGGTTCCATGCTAATTAGTGGGAGAGTATATAAAGGCCTGAATATTTGTTGACTCGGGTTAGGAACTTGAATCCAAATTAATAGTCATGAGTGCAGGGGATTACTGTTAGTAAATATATTGGTCGATATACTGTGTCAAAACAGGGCGACCCAAGATTGGCGACTATGAAACCGAGGCTTTCTTGAGTGTCCGATGCACCACATTGCTGGCACATTGGTTTGCATTAGTTGCACCATGCGAGCGCATCCCTGGCAAGTCACCTGGACAATTTGCACATGCTGAACCACAAAATCCTGCGCCAGTTCTGCATGGTTCGCTTTCAAAACCTGCGGGGACTGCTTGCACACTCTTACTGACCTGCCCGGACCAGCTCTGAAGTTCTTACCCCAATATCTGCTGTCCAGCTGCTTTGATCTCGGCTGTCTCCTTGTATCATTCTGTTGGTTGAGTGGGTTTCTACATCTCTGACATGGCTCCAAAGGGGAACCAGTCGGGTTTCGGCCTTTCGGGCTTCGGGGTGGCAAACTTGGGCTATCCTGGTAGGCGGAACCATCTGAACCATGGGCGTCGTTTCCATGGTCCAAGGCCATCCAGTTCCGAGCACTCGAAGCGTGCACGATCTCCCCAGCATTGAGCTCGAAGGCTGTCGGCTTGACTGGAATCCAACACTTGCTATTCGCCTCCTAATAGAACAGTGCACAACTAACTTTAAGTCGGGTCGTGGGGTACATTAAAGACTTCCCTTCTATGAGTCTCTACTCGCATTGCTTGTTAAGCAAACCAGTAGAAAAATCTTTGGCCCTTCCAAAAAAGCCAACCGAAGTCCGCTTCGTGCCGCAGCGATTTTTGTGCCTGGCGCTTTACACTAAATTGATTGGGCCAGGCTTTCGTGGCTCAACACCCAGGCACTGAGAAAGAAGAGAACCTCCGCGAGAAATCGGCAAACAGTTCAAGCAGAAGAAAAAAACTGCAAGCCAATATCCGGAGTTCACAGAAAGAAGGAGACCTCCTAAGGCGGCGTAACCCTGACATGGGGTTTATGAGTGAATTACCCAATTCTTCCGGTTGATCTTCCCCGGAGCAAAAGGTCTGACCTTTGGTGGAAAATTTCATGGAGAAGCAACTTGCTTCCAAGAAAGGTCCAAGGGTTTATGTAAGGGGCCAAGATCACGCCAACGACCAGCCATGCTCTATCCAAGTGGGGGATCATGTACGCCTTGGATGCTTGACTTAGCTTAGTCCTTAGGGACCCACAAATGAAAGGTTCGCCTTTTGGGGTGACTTAAAGTGGACCGTGGGAAAACCCAAAAGGCGAGATCCAGTCGATTCGCTTTGTGGGACACCCGCGCGCCTTCTTCGCCTCTTTGATCTGCTCATTGATCTCCTTTGCCTCATCCTCCTGACGCTGCGACACATGTTGGATGAGGGGCTGTCTTAGGCCCAGATGTCTCAAAAACCTAACTGTTGTCGCATTTCTTCTCCGTCTTTATTATTTCCCCATGACGAGCAAGCTTTTCCTATGGCACTCGCCTACGACACAGCAAGTATCAATCCCAGAAGAAATCGACAGACGATGCGTCTGCGCGTTGCTCCAATAAGTCTCCGGCATCTTTGGGTTCGAGCCAGGCAGGAGTTCTAAAGCGAAACCACACCCTGCGGCATCGCTTTACGGCTAGCAGGTGCGCATGTTTGAACATGGAGGCTTCCCTTTGCTAGGTCCTCCAGTAGAGAGGTTAGAATAAGGGTGCCCTTTTTTCTGTAGTCTATTTTAGTAGGGGCCTCCCCCAAAAAGGGTAAAAGGGCACTACTGGGGGACCTAGTTTGGGTTGTCCTTTTGCGGAAAGGGCCCATCCTTTTCCGCTCCGAAACCAACCTTCCCGGTGAAACCTACTCGGGTCCACACGTGTTGGTTCAAGCGGGGCAGGCAGTGAATCTTCTGTCCGCTTTCTGATCCCCTGCCAAAAGTTAAATCCTCCTAGCGGGTGAAATGGAATTCCAATCGAAACCTAAACAAGCTACTCGCACGGCTGGAACCGCCAAGCTTGGAAGTTAGGTTACACAAGAGAAGCCCTTTCCGGGGGTGAGTCCTTGTCGCCTAGCCGCTCTAACTTCAATGATTCAAGCAGGGTGCTGACGCGCTGCTGGACGGTTCTGGGCCAAACGACCTATTGTGGCAGGGTGCTGGCAAACTTAGACATTGAGTACGTATCTTTTGGTATGTTGGCGACCAAAAAAACAAATGCGCTGTTTGCCTTTAAATTGTGGAACGTGTCACAATAGGGAGCTCTAACTCGGCCCACATCTGAAGGAGACACCGCTTCAAGCCCCGCCTTGCCATTGCGGACGTAGAGGTCCCGCAGGAGCTCCGCGTCTTGGATCCGCTTCTCGATGGGGTCCTGTCCAGTCTCAGACAGGTTTCCCCCAAAACGCCCCACCCAAATGGAGATGGGACGGGACACCTGGGCGGACACAAGAAAAACCTGGGCTTGGGCTGCGATTTGTATCCAATAGCTTCTGCCAAAGTTGCAAGAGTCTGGCAAAAAAAACTGTAGACCTAATCCTTCCAGGAAGCCCTGCTCTAGTTTGCTGAAGCTTTGAAGGACAAGCTTGAATTTGTAGTTCCAAAAGCAATCCCTTACCACTTTGATGGCAAACCACAAATCTCTTCTCATGAAAGAAAGCGGTTAAAGATCTACAACTTCTTCACTTGGGGCTCGTCCCTCTTCTTGAAGCACCCTTCTCAGGGTATTTTCTCAAGAACAACTACAAGAGCACCACATATTTTTTGAATTTCCGCTTCAGAGACATTTGCTCAGTTTGTGGCCAATTTGAAGGCCATCCATGTCCGATTCCCTCAAGCGATGAGGCCTTTGAGAAAACTGGAAGTTAAATGGGCTTGTCCAAACAGGAGAAGCTTCAAAAGCTGTGGTCTTCATGTTGGTTTCCGTGGTTTACTTTACTTGAACACATTTGAGGAAATCCTTTTCCGCAGAGGTTTCCGTGAGCCTCCGGGTTCCACTTCCACTCCGCTTGATTTAGTTACTTGGGTCCCAAGATAGCCGTTGGAAAAAGCGACATCTCGAATCGAGACTTGTGAATGGACCCATCTTCCAGGCAAAAGCGTCCCGTGAACATGCGAAGCATTCAGAAGTCACGCGGGCTTGACGGGTCTATCAACCGCTTTGGCCGATTTCAAGGGGCTCTTCGAGCTTTGAGGCAGACAGAGTCGGACTCGGAACACTTTGCGAGCAACAAGCCAAGGTCGGCATTTGCTACCCTGGACATAGGACAATCACAGAGCTCCCAAATGGAAAATACGCTGCGTCTTTTGACCTGCTCAACAATTCATGAGGTCCCTGGTGGGATCTGGAAGTTATTTCGTGTTGTTCTGCCGCCTCATTACAAGCAAACACAGGAATTGTTGAGAGCCCTGCTGAAGTGAAGGCTGGGTTGTTCAAAATGCATGCAACCCGGTTCCAGGGACGCCCCGACCTCAATTCCAGATCTCTCGCTCCTGCTCGGATATGTCCTCTATTCTCTTCTCCAGGTCCTGATAGGTGGCACCTGATCAACAGGAAGGCCGTTTATCCACGCCATTTGCTCGTTCCAAGAAACCCGTTTGTCGCCAACATCAAGGAGCAGCTTCATTGTACAACGGACAGCTCAGGCGAGTTTCATCTTGAACCTGATGGCGCACAATTACAGCACGTTTTTACGGACGGTTCATGTTTTGGACACCAAGACTCGCAGCTTGCATTAGCAGCCTGGGCGGCCATCGCGCCGGATCGCGGATGCATCGCAGCAGGACATACAGACAATCAGTCGTGCGGAGCTGACTGCAGTTATCAGTGCCATCCGGTGGACTATCAAATGCAACTGCCGTACATGCGTTTGGTCAGACTCACAGTCTACCGTGCACGGAATCGACGCGCTGCTTCATGAACCCACTGAAGCCCCGTCAGGTGAAAACGAGGACCTTTGGCACGCCGCTGCAGACCTACTCAGAACCACAACAGCCGGGACATTTCAGATTCACTGGATTCCAGCCCATCTTCATGAAGCCGACTGTGAATCTCCTTTTGAGGAATGGGTCGCATGTGGAAACAATCAAGCTGACCATGCTGCAGTCGCAGCCAACCGGAACCGATCCGCTGATTTTGTGCATCTGCACAGTCAGGCCAAGCAGTTTTTCAAACACTGGGCCGGAATCAGTGATGCGCTGGAACGCATTTACCTCCGCATCGCACAGTGCACCCGTGCTCAGGGCGAGAACCTGCAAATCGACGAACAGGAAGAACCAGATCCAGCAGAACAGCCCAATGGGCCTCCTGTGCAATGGCATGACCGCCAAGGCATTTGGGCCGATCACCTGCCTGAGGACTGGACCTCATTTGGCGAGACAAAGCTGCCGGACCTCCCCAGTAGCTTTCTGCGGCAGTTCTTCGAGTGGCTTTTGGCCCTAGATGGGCAAAGCGAAGCTTGTGTAGATGTCAGCATGTTGGAATTAGTTTTGTTTTACCAGCACGGAGCCGGCCAGGCTTTTCCCATAGCCACACCTGATGGCAAGTATGAACATGCGACACACGTCGCCCCGTTCGCCAGGCCTACCGTGGCTAGCCTTTTGCGGTTGGTCAGCCGCGTTTTGACCGCGTTTGCACGCCACTTTTCGCTGGAGGGCTTTCTTTCTTCGGGGATTGATCGCTCTTTTTTGTCGGTGCACCCTCCACAGAAAGGTGTGCGGATCGGCTGTGACCTGCACAGCATTAGCGCCATGAGACAGCTCACGGCGGTTTTCACGGCCACGCGACCCATACGGGTCAGCGCGGACCTGGCACGGCCTGCCATTCATGACAGACTCCGCTCGCTGCACTGCGCCAGCCGTGCACGAGCGATAGCGCAAGTTGGAGTATCCACGCCAGCTTTTTCGCTGCATGCTGCTGAGTGAGAGGTTTGCTGGGGTTGCAGGGTTGCCCCTGACGTGCTTGGAGGGTGCCGGTGCGAGGGAATTTGGGCCTTGGGCGCTCTTGCAAAGGCGCTGCGGGCTGGTTGAAGGCTTCTTCCAGTGTGACTGGCATTTGCGTATTGTGGGGGTGCCGGACAGCGCTGGGAGGGGAGTCTACGACGTTGGACCTACGGCGCAACATTTAGCCGAGCTGAATCCCAGCGCTTCTGGCCATTCTCGCGAAACTCTAGGATCGGGCGGAAATCAAAGGGCCCTCCTAGCCTCTGAGTCGGGCCAAAGACTAGGAATGCTTCTCCTTACTCCAAGACAAGCAGAACCAGCGACCAGGACAAGTTCTCACGGCTTCTTCGGATTGGGGTGCAGATCTAGTGACAACGCGCCATCCGATTCTGGTCGCCTAACATAACATGTTCTAAGTTGCACCCATTGTGCTAAACTCAGAAACATAGCCTGGTCGAGGACACCACCAACAACAAACCCGCCAAGCATGCACAAGCATGCACAAGCATGCACAAGCATGCAACACAATTCAAGCTGTTTTGCCAAAGCAAAGGCATTCCCTTTTTAACCCACCCCGAACCTATCTCCCATCTATTCTGTTCAAACCAGTAAGCACGCAAGCTAAAATCATGGTTGCAAATGGAGCAGCAGGGGTTCATTGACAACAATAACCATGGTTACCCGCTTACACGGCTGGGTATGGAACATCAATAATGATAATCAGTAGTGGTAAACCCCTACATGAGGGAAGCCACTGCCATTTGGCGTAAGGATCCATTTGGTTTGCGTAAGGGAGGAACTTGCATTTGGCTGGCTTAAGGCAAACAAGCCGCGGGGGGGGGGGGGGGGTCTCAATTTTCTGGATCCACCAACGACACGTTCTTACTCAAAGCATTCCATTGGCAGATTCACATCACACACACACACACACAAAAAAAGAAAACACGTGCTTACCGGAGTCTCCTTTGGGTCCCAGAGCTAAAGCTGGACTTACTTCCGAACGAGTGGATTGGCCAGAGTTAAAGCACCTGGAACTTTCTTTTTTACCCCTAAAATGGTCCAACCCCAAAAGGTGACTCAAGTCCGAGTTCCGGAACTCGGGAAGTGAGTCTGGCCTCATTATTTTACCATGGTCAGAGTCACCCCCTAAGTGGTGGGTTAAAGGGAAACAACCCCATTTCTGACTTTGATCACCCCCAAAAACCGTCAAAATAATGCCCCCTGTGAGTGGAAATGTGGGGGTCGCGTGGAAAACCCATTGATTTCCCAACAAGTCAAAGTCTCAAAATCCAAGCCAACAGCAGTTAAGACATTTCGGGCACCCCTGATCAGAGCCCTGCTTTCGGATTCTTCGGCCCGGGCCGGAGAGCACGGAGCCCCCCTTGGAGGACGCAGCGGCCAGCTTCGCCTCTTGCGCCACCTCACGGCGAGAAGCGGTCGATCGCTCTCTTTTGAGCTGCACAGCTTGAGCCAGGATCATTCCCCGAAAATGGAAGGGTGGAGAAACCGTGGTCCCTGGGATTCTTCCATTTGGCTTTTCGACCCTGGAAAACATGGACAAATGTGTCCAGGAGTGAAATCGATTCCCTTTCGAACCAACAGGGGAAAACTAGAAACATGTTCTTAAGCAAATGGAAGTTTTGACGTAGGATTTCCAAGCAACTCACAAGTTCTTCCTGTTTTACTGGAGATTTGCCACTTTCGGATGTTCCTGTACCATAACTCCCGCTTCAGTCATGAGGACTGAATTCCCCAAAATTCACACCCACACGGTTGGAGCTCGAGGAATGGGGACATCTACGCACCCTCCAAAAGGAAGCTCGCCAAGTGCCTTGGCCTGCAAAGTGATGTTACAACTCCCCTTTCAAAGGGAAACACATGAAGCGCCCGGCAACATGTTGGCGCCGCACTTTGTACGTGGCCTGTATGTCCAAGTGATACTGCCCCGAAGTGGTTTCCAGGAAGGGCAAATCCGGGAATTTGCCACAAGCCAGTTCACTTAAGCAGTCCAACATACAGCACAAGCCCAACACAACGTAGCCATCTGGCCTGTCCCACGAACCTTCCAACCTCGTTTTGCGTGTGGCTGCTTTTGCTTTCGTGGCGAAATCAAAAACATGATTAGAGTTTGGCCCAGTTATAGAATGAATACTTTATTGTTTGCTTCACTTTGAGACACTGGGAAAATATAAAATGTATCCTAAGGCTACCCCAGAAAAGTGCGACACACGGCACAGACCGCCGGCAAGGACGCAAGCCTTGTCGTAGATCTGCCCACGGTCAAACATCCCGGTGAAGGTCTTCGAGTCCTGGCGAAGGCCATGGACCAGTTCCCAGTGACACGAAGGGTAGACCAAGGGAACCAACTCCCAGCTGCCCTCGTTGCTTTTCTTTTGGGCCGAATCGTTTTGGGAAGGGCATTGCCTGAATATCTTTTTAGGGTTGACCCCACTTCTCGTGAACCCCTCCAAAAACACTGGGAAAGCAATTGCCGACTGGAGACGGAGCCCTTGTATCACAGGAACGCTCCGCTGAACACATCAGATTTCCCCACAAAAGCTCATGGGATACCTCAAGGACGCCAACCAGACTGACGTTTCCCCTTGAAACCCAAACCAAAAAACCCGGTCTTCCCAAGCTGCAAGCAAGAACGGAGCCTCGGCTGCTTTCTGCTCCCCTGCTAAAAGTTCAGCTTCAGTGGTTTAATGGAATTCCCGTAAAAGTCCTAACATCCCTTGTTTCATCGGCCAGTGTGCCCGTTCTTTTCATAAGCCAAGGGGGCTGATCTCAAGCTCCCCACCAAGGAGTCCTTCTCTCTTTGAACGCGGCGCTCCCCTCGCAGCCTGGCAACGGCACAAGGGGCGAGGCTGAAATCACCAACCTGAAACACAACTAGGTCCTCCAGTAGAGAGGTTAGGTCCTCCAGCAAAGGGCTTAGAATAAGTTGCTATGAACTTTTTTCTGTAGTCTATTTTAGGGGAACCCTCCCAACCAAAAAGAAACTGTAAAAGGGCACTGGGGGACCTAGACAAGTCTACCCAGTTGCCCAGTGACCCTGGGGATTTGGAGGCTACTGAGAAGAACAAACCCACTCTTGAACAGGCTGAACGGAACAGGCTCAAACTAAGTGACTGCACTTGCCTGAACTATACGGCACATTTATCCAAGTGGGCTTTCCATATGGTCGATTTCCCTTTCCACCAAGGTAAGAAGAGTGCTAAAACCAAAACAAACCAATTTATTCTCAGCAACTATGGGAAACAGGAATGAACCATCTTGATGGGCTTCCCATTTTCAGACACTAGCCCCCCGGTTCTTCTGACTCCCCGAACCTCAAACGCCCCAAAAAGCGGTCCGCAGTCGCGCATTCGGTGCCTCACCAGGAGCCGCTCGATCGTCTGGTTGGAGGGATCCAGGCGGTTGGCCTTGGCCAAATCCTGAGGTTCGCCCCATGGAAGCGCGAGAGGCGCGAGCGGGGTGGCGGGACCCCCGGTTTCACTCCTGTGGGCTACGTCGCTTTTGGTTTTCCTTTCGGTGGAAGGAAAAACTTGGGAGTTCGAAAAAAAGGAAGCTGCAACACCAACAGTTTGCGGGTTCCGGGAACCCACAAACTGTTGGTGTCCTGGGTTCCCAATATTCAGAAGCAGCCGTGTGGCAATAAAACGTGATCCAAGATAGGCTCACCTTTATGACATGAGCCAGTACCACTTTACGTCCGAAAACAGCAGCCCAACATGCAGCTGGCGGAGGGCTTGTTTTGGCGGATCCATGTGGTTGATCAATATTCTATTCGGTCCCAAACTGACCATGGGGTAACTTTTTCCATGGAAGTCGCATCTTTTTTGTAGGTTCCCTGGTCCCATGTTTACATATTTTTTGCGTCTTAAAATCAACATGTGGAGAACCTATCCGGGGACATTTAGTGTCGCTCCTTGATGGCCAAGTCGTGGTCGTAGGCCGTTGCTTTGACGGGCCTCTCGCGACAGTGGGCTGCCATCTGCCATTTCTGGCCCCGGTTTTTCTGGACATCTGGCTCAAGTCATGTGAAAGAGATCCCAGTCATATGAGGGCCTCCTGTGAAGTGCATAGCACATATAGCCATGAAAGGTGTCGAGTTGCCTTTTTCGACAAACCGCCCCATTTTGGTAGGTGCGACGCTTTGCAGCTCATCCAGCGAACTTCCTTTCTTGGATGGTCTCACACCAGCATCGAGCATCGCAGAAGATGCTTAAGACTCTGCTATGTAATTACCTGGTACCGGTGCTAGGGAGTCTGGATACATCCTCCCCTCCCTCCCTCCCCTCCAAACGGCCCCTTGAAATGATGCTGGCCAGAAACGGCGTCATGGATGGGTTCCTTGGTTAGAACGCACACCCACAAAGGGACACCGGGCCCTTTGAAGAGCAAACAGCTCAGCTTGAGTGCGGTTTCTGTTAAAGCCAGAACGCGTCCTCCGGGTTGATCGTACTTTTTTGAACAATCGCCTGCAAATGGCAATGTCAAAACACAAGGGGTTGAATCGGCCAAACGTGGGGCATTTGGGGCAGCCCAAAATCTTAGGTGCGGGTTCTTGGTTGGCTTCCCTTCAGCCGGCCGTTGAATCCATGAAGCGAACCTCCCGCCTGATTCTGGACTCCGCGCGCCGGTAGAGGGCTTTCACGTTGTCCGGGTCGAGTCTGAGTGGTCTCAAGCTGGGAAGCTGGTGAACCCACTGTTTTGGTTCAGTTGGGTTTGTCTCAACATCGGACCCCGTACAAATGGGGGAGGGGCTGTTTCCTTTCAACTCCCGGGTGAGCCCAGCCCCCCCGCCAAAAAAAAAAATGGTGCCATCAAAGAGGGTGACCCACATCCAGCCATTCAGGTGAAATCTGGCTCGCTCTGGACCAAGGGCATCAGCTCGAAACTTCCCCCTACCCCATACAGCCTTTGCCTTCCGACGAAAACCTGGGCATGCTTTCGCTTCTTTGTTTCTTTCAACGGGATGTTGGCTTCAACATACGCATACTGTAAAAGTGGCAGGATGTCATAGGGGCAAGTATGGCCGAATGTGGCACCCCAGGCCCCAGAAACACAATAGGAACCTCTTGCTTCAGTCAAGTGCTCTCTGAACGCCGTCCTGAAACTTGATGGTTCTCAGGGAACTTGCTTGGTTTTGGGGAATGAACCCAGCGAAGTGGCGAACTCCCCGAGTGGCTTATCTCAAACGGAGTGAGACCCGTGGCTGGTTTGAGAAAGACCCCTACTTCCACACCCCCAAAAAGGAGGTACCTAGCTTGAACCTCCCCATAGCATGTTCGGCATTTTTTTCCCATGTCTACATTAAAAACTGTGATCTTGCTTTTGGCTCCCTCTTTCTTCCATTTGGTTAAGACCCTGGAGAAAAAAAACCAACAAACAACTCCCTTTAAAACCAACTGGGGAAACCATATTCTTGAGCAACTGGAAGCTTTAAACCAACCTTACCGCCCACCCACAGAGATTTCTCCAAACATCTGAGGAATCCCGCTCCAGGGCAGCGTCGCACGCGGCGATCGCCTGCCAAAAACAGCGGTCGCCCGCCCCGTCGCCTCCCGCAGGACCTGCCCCAACTTGGTCGCGGTAACTTCCATTGGCTAAGAATATTTTTTTCTTTTAATTCAGTAGTGATAAACTCCTTTTAAAACCAACAAGGGGGACAAACACATATTCTTCAGCAAATGGAAGGTAACGACCCCTCGGAAGAAAGTGGGATCAACTTGTTGGTGGGTCCAGTTCGGAAGATCCGGCCAGCTTTAGAGCAGTCGACTCTTGAACGCCCAAACACTTTGTGTTTTGCTTTTCTGCAGGAGTCGCTTTTGGGCCCACGACACATCTTGGCGGTCACCTTTCTAAGTGAAAATTTGGCACTCAGGAAGAGACAATCTGAAAATATGAACCCCCCTAGCCCCTAACCTTCCTAGAGCCCCCTTCGCCTGTGCATCCCATGGGGGCAAAAACAAGCCACCTCAGCTGTCGACTCCAGGAGCGCACGAGCGCCGCACCTCATCGAGCTTGTCGAGCTTTTGCTTGCAAGCTGCCAGATTCAGCGCGCACCTCCGTTCCACTCACAGGTGAGCCAACGTCAAACTCCGGTCACATCTGCACAAACATCGTCCTGGGCTCGATTTATTCCCAAACACGCAGGTCCGTCGCGCCGTTCGGGCATAAGTACAGTTCACTTCTCACAAAGCTCCTTGCCACTTGCTCATGATTCGATGCCAACGTCCGCATGTCGGAACGGCTGACGCAAAATCCCACACAAATCGGCCCCTTTGTCAAAATCACTGGTCCGCGTTCATCTTAGACGTCACCCGCCACAGAGCGTACCCTTTTAGTTTGAGTGGTGCAAGATCCCCGCCACTCAGGGCTGTGGGAAATCAGAAAAAGGGCTTCGCAAAGACCTTTTCTTTCCATTTGGCCTTTTAGGGATCTGCCGATGCCTCCCTCCGGTATATGGATGCCATGTTGGGTTGCTGGTTAAGGAAGGAATTTGACGCCCCATGTTTGGGAGACTCGCTGTGAGTCAAACCCCTATTACTTGGAACCCCTTCCATGCATGGCTTAGCTGGCTCAGGCCTCACAGTATTCCCAGAAGCTGATCAGTTGGTTTGTTCGCGTAACTTCATGGGTTGGCGTGTACTCATTATTCCTAAACCTGGAATTGATAAGTTTCTAAGGGTTGTTGTATTACACCCCGGGATTGCACCCTTGGGAAATGGCCCAACATGGTCCAACAAAACATGACTTTATCCTGGAAATATGCCTAAGTGGGGTCATTTCCCAGTGGGCGTAACCCCAGAGCGCAATGCGGAAACCCTTAAAAAGCTAGTTGTCTTGCTCACACAGATTGATAAGCTGGTTTCTGTCCAACCGTTGAGAAATTGGCTTGCTCCCAAAAGTTGATAGGCCGGCGTATGTCACAACTGTTGATACCTTGGCCTGTTCACACATGTGGATACGCTGGTGATGGTCTCTTATTCTCAAAAGTTGATGCCTTCCCACCAACAAGGGCCTTCCGATGCACAGGAGTGGGCCAACCCCTTAAGACATGTTTAAACAACTGTTTCACCTTGCAACCCTTGGCATGGTGGCAACCAAACTGACTGTCTTTTGAAGCCCCCGCCCCGCCACTAAACATGAACAGAACCCACACACAACGAGCACCTAAACACTCGCCAAGAACAGTGACGTCAAGCAACCTGTTTAGTTCACCTTCGCGGGCCCGGGTCTTGGATAGATATTCTCCATTTGCTTCTTCCCGCCCCGGAAAAGATGAGAACACCCTTCCAGAAGTGAAATCGATTACCTTTAAAATCAACAAGGGGAAGTTCTTAAAAAGGCAAAACATGATTCAGCAAATGGATGTAATGTTGCAACCAATTCCTGGTACAATTCCACCCTGGGGCTGCCGACAGGGCTCGGTGCTTCCTCTGCCACTTGCCCTCCTCCTCCGTGGAGCCCGTGTCATCCACTGGCGGAAGGAGCTTTGGCAGGTGGCAACTCTCTCTCTCTCTCTCTCTCTCTTTCTCTCTCTTTCTTTTTTTTTTTTTTTTCTCTCTCTCTCTCTCTGCCAGCGGCACATCTATATATAAATGCAAATATTTAAAAACAAATGTATATACATACATACATACGTACGTACGTACGTACGTACATACATACATACATACATACATACATACAGTACATTACATTAAGTTACATTACATTACATCACATTAATTAATACATACATACATACATACATAAATACATACATACATACATACATACATTACATTACATTACATTACATTACATTACATTACATTACATTACAATACATACATACATTACATACATACATACATACATACATACATACATACATACATACATACATACATACATACATACATACATACATACATACATACATACATACATACATACATACATACATACATACATACATACATACATACATACATACATACATACATACATACATACATACATACATACATACATACATACATACATACATACATACATACATACATACATACATACATACATACATACATACATACATACATACATACATACATACATACATACATACATACATACATACATACATACATACATACATACATACATACATACATACATACATTACATTACATACATACATACATACATACATACATACATACATACATACATACATACATACATACATACATACATACATACATACATACATACATACATACATACATACATACATACATACATACATACATACATACATACATACATACATACATACATACATACATACATACATACATACATACATACATACATACATACATACATACATACATACATACATACATACATACATACATACATACATACATACATACATACATACATACATACATACATACATACATACATACATACATACATACATACATACATACATACATACATACATACATACATACATACATACATACATACATACATACATACATACATACATACATACATACATACATACATACATACATACATACATACATACATACATACATACATACATACATACATACATACATACATACATACATACATACATACATACATACATACATACATACATACATACATACATACATACATACATACATACATACATACATACATACATACATACATAACATACATACATACATACATACATACATACATACATACATACATACATACATACATACATACATACATACATACATACATACATACATACATACATACATACATACATACATACATACATACATACATACATACATACATACATACATACA